AACAAGTCCCTTCCCAAGGCCAGTCACAAGTCCCTTCACAAGGCCAGTCACAAGTCCCATCACAAGGCCAATCATAAGTAACAGGGTGAAAAATGACAAAAAGATGCTTTTGTCACAGCTCATTTGAATAGCTTATGAATTGGCTTAAGATTGAGTGACTTGTGATGGCCGAACAGAGGCTTGTTATAGACTTGAATACAACAATGCTTAGGCCTACACCAGATTGAGAACTACTAGTTCCTGAGCTTGCACAATGAGCATTTTTGCGCATAGTGTCCCGCACAAGTATTTTGCCCAAGGTATAAGCAGAGATATGTACTGTGTGCTGTATCACTTTATTTATTACAACTGAGGTCATTCTACCATGATGCGTAACAAGAACAACACTTACCTCATTTCATGCAGATCGTCTGAGTTATGAATGGCCAGGTTCACCTCTCCGTCCCGTACCAGCCAGAAGTCTTCAATAATTGGCGGGGATGAGTCGGTGTGGACCAACACGCTGTCCCTCACAGAGTGACCTGCAAGGTCCCTGGCCTCCACCCAGAATCGTATAGAATCGCCGTCCACTAACCTCAGGTAGTACGTCGCCTGCGTGCTTGTGGCTTCGTTTCTCCAGTTGTCGGAGTTGCCATCGCTCACTGCAACAGTGGTCCTACCGCCGCTGTGGTCGATGTCGTAAAAGACGCGAAACTGCGTCACACCAAGTGCATGAGGGATAGCTGCACGGCCACGCCGCCCAAAGTTCTGATCATAATCTAGGAAAATAAAAGTGATTTGTATTCACAAAATTTTTACTCAGTGTTACAGCTAACAATTATTTACACATTTAAATACACCAAACAAATTAAGGTAATTACCACTGTCAATGAAACCGGCAGTGTAGGATCCAATTGGTTTCAGAAGTCCTTGGTTTACATGATGCACGTTAATGAATCGGTTTGTCCAGACTAAATCTACCGAGGTTGGCCCGCCAGAGTTCAGACTGGTCAGCCACAGGTAGTCAGTCTTTGAAGATGCTGAGGTCACACGCAGAGGGGAATCGGTCTGAATGGTGACATCACTGGGATCGTTATCAAAGAAAATGAAACGCCTGCAGAGTCTGAAGTTGCCGGCGTTGTCAACGACAGTGAGGATGACTGAGTACACACCTGGAAAACAGGTGGGAAAGAGAGAAGCAATTAATGCCTTCCTTCAACCACAGAAATGATGATGTTCTGTAATTGACCAAAATATACATCTAATGAAGAAACTCAATTGAGTCTATTTACTCAACAGAAAATACTGTCAATTAATTAATTATTGAGGGAAACTCTCTAGGTGGCTTGCAGAGAAACTAGCCAAACTGGTACTTGAACCAATTCTAAGAACATGACCTCACTCTTCATGAAACCCCTTCAAACCAATTTTAATAAAGTGAGGGCTGGTATAAAGTAACCTACACATACAACAGACTACATACAATGCAAACCATGGCCTTTGCAACCAACCACAGAATAAATATTATGGCCTCTGCAACCTACCACAGAATACATATTATGGCCTCTGCAACCTACCACAGAATAAATATTATGGCCTCTGCAACCTACCACAGAATACATCCAATGGCCTCTGCAACCTACCAACATGGGGTAAAGTGACCCTCTGGCCTGAGCTGGTCACTCCAGAATATACGGGTGGACTGTCATAGATTTCTGTCATCTCGCTGCCATGGCTACCGGATAGCTGTCGCACTACCAGGTCATACTCCTTAATACCAGCCAGATCGTCGGCCCAGCCTTGCCATGTGACTGTTATCGCTCCCTGCAAAATGTATTGCAAAATTGGAGAGCTCAAACAAAGCCGATCATTGCGCATACAAAAGGAAACAGCTGGTGTTGTTAGGCAAAGTAAAACAAGTCAAAAACACAGTTTCTCGTCTGCCTTGTTCAAACCGAAGAGGTGGTGGTCTTTTCTTTTAGGTGGCAGATTGTTCCAAATGGAGGATGGATTTTCATGACATTTGACCAGATAAATGTGTAGGAGTTGGCACCATTCAAGAGGTGTTAAACTTGTATTTACTGCAACAGATCTTTACAAGAACAGAATAAAAAGTCAAAAATATATTGCAACTTTTACAAAAAAAAAGAAAATTAAAAGAAACTGCTGATAAAGGGGAAACTGGAAGTGGCAGGCATGAGAAATTCTTTTTTGGTCTTAATTCTCTCTAATATTCAAGGAGAGCAAGAATTGTTAATGCTAAATGCCCAGGGCAGTATCTGCTCTGACAAAGCAAGCACCTGGCACTGCCAAAGAGGAGAAGGGATGCTAGGAAAACGTCAACTTCATTGGTGCATGGTGCACCTGTTAGGACCATTTAAACAGAAAATGGTCACGAGCGCTCAGTAAATTCCACACCTTAAGCCCTGGAGCACATCACTAGGCCACCACCATTGAATTTGAAATTGGTAATGGATATGAACCTACTTTCAACGGTATTAGTCTCCGACACAATTGTTTTCCTCAAACCATGTACCAATGCCCTCTAGCGACAGGTTTAAAACATGATTAAAATCTATTTTGAATAGATGTCTGTGGCAAAATTTGCCGGAATGGCTTGAAAATTGATAGATACAGTGACTCTAATGCATGCAATGTTTGTGCAAAAAATTGGGCCGATGAGGTCATCGGACCAGAAGTTATAACAAAAAGACCTTTAATTCATTAAAACTGCTAAAAAAATCAATCCCGACAGCTACAAGCTGAAGTTTCCCCGTCAAAAACTAGAGTAAATATCTGCATCTACTGTGCAAGGTATTGGGCTGATTTTTTTGTTTATTCACACTTTGTGCCGCTAATGAAAACAATGGCCATCCGCCGGTAATGCTGGTAACACGACTCATAGGGGTAAGAACCGTAGTGGTAAGAGCCATTTTTGCTGTACAAGTAACACGTACCGTATAAATTGAGCCACACTGTTTCAGGGAATCTGGCAAGTGTCCAACCATGCATATCGGGCCCTGCATATACTGTGTATGTTAAATTTTGAATTGTGGATTTAACAACGGCAGTTCGATTCCTGTCCTTTCCAACTAATTTTTTTTATACAACCGAAGTTCCGGAGTTCTCGAAACAGTTCGTCTCGTCCTCTACTTGCAAACATTAAGAAAAATACATGCAAGCACAGTTCAACAGCAGAGATGCCACAGGGTCTGCTCTTAAAAACCGGAACTTTATTAATCGTAGCAAATAACATTGAAGTGCACCGTTGAGCGTAGGCAACGGAGCGCATAACAAACCAGGGTTCTTTTCTTGTACAGTCATGTCTGGTTCCACTTACATTCCACCTTTGATTCAAAGGCTTTTAAGTTGTCCATTCTTTCTAAAATTTTCAATGTTTCCATATTTTGACAAATTCTGTAGCATGACATATGAGATTTTGTTCCCTCCAAACCATGCAAGATTACGGTGCAGACATCAATCAACAGCTCTTCCAGCAAAACACAAGTGCACGATGATATGCTTGGTTCCCGGTTTGTTGTGTACAATATTCCTATTCACACAATCACTGCTACTGGGAATCGCTGACTGACTTGATAGTTTGAATTCAAGGATGTGTAATAAATGGCTCAGTACGCTAACCACCCACATATGGTGTACAATATAGTAGACTACTTGGCGCTGCTGAAACTCTGGTCATTTCAGAAGGCATGCCGGCAGTGCATCACGCTGCATCGTATGCAAGCTCGGAAGCCTTGCTTTAAGGCCACTAATGGCTGCACATGTGCAAGCAGTGCGTGACTGGCACTGAAACTGAGACGCACAGAAATGAAAATAAATAAATGCATTCCCATTTGTATTTTCTTTTGACCCAGAAGGGAAAAAACGGAAACATGGAATTTCCGGGGACCGTTTAAAAAAACCCAAAAATCCTGATAAAACCGGAAAAGCGACATCTCTGAATTGTCAGTTAAACAATCTAACCTGTGTGGTTACATCATTTCCTGCATTCAGCATGCTTGTTCTGCATCCTCCAGCAGCACCGACGCAGTGGTAGGGCTCCACAAAGTCAAAGGTGAAAGTTGAGTAGGCGGAGCTTGTTCGGCCGCTGTAGTAGCGTGTGCTGATGCGATTGGACAAGTCCCTGTTGAAAAGCTTCAGGTACCCGCCGTTTGTTGCAGACACATCAATCCGCAGTCTGCAATTCAACAGGTAGAATGTAAAAGATTGTGAAATACACTTATTCCTCTTAAGAGATACATCAATGAGTATAGAAGTCTCATTGTTCAGAGTACAATTGTTGGAAAGACAATTTGCTGCCCTACGCTTATAGCTATCAAATTTGATGAGGCCTGACCAAATACAGTATCAGTGTAAAAAGTGTGAAATTTCTCACAAGGCAACACACGCGGGCACTCCCAATCTTTGAAGGAGGCACTGAAAGCCATGTTGCTTGTACGTGAGTTGTGTGACATTTCAAAAGTTCAAATAGAGAAACTGTGGGAAGAGGCCAGGGCAATTGACTCCTGCTTTCTGCCGGAGACGCCTGCTCCCCACGTGCAGTTTAGCCACAGTTTAGCCAGATGTGTACAGACTGCACTTCATTCTGTCAGGTCAAACTTCTGAGCATATCGCTGAGGTGTTCTTGGTGTGTCATATGCAGACCTTTCTCTTTTAAATGAGATTTACAGTTGAGTGGAAATGTTTTGCTATAATACCTTCCCGGGTATGGATAAAGGGGGAGGGGTCGGGAGAGGTAGTAAACACCGGCCACCTGAGACAAAACAAAAGGGCGGGAAAAAAAAATAACTACTTAAAAAGTAAGGTGACCAATGCCACTGTAAAAAAATGCAAGCAATGCATAATGTTTCATCATCGTTTCTGCTTGTCTGTAAAAAATGAGACATTAAAAAAAATCTCCAGCCTGACCCCCCCGTAAATTTCCTAGATCCATCCCTGATCATTGCATTGAACACATGCACGATAGCTTCCCTCATGTTTCTTTAGTTCCTGCCATTTTTATGAAGTCAGCAAACCCACAAACAGATAAAACAGGAACGTCGAGGTCTGTTGTCAGGGCAGGTCATTTTCATATCTCTTTTGATACAGAATACTGAGAAAAGTATTAGTGACTTTGTTTTTTCGAGCCCTGCAAGGTAGTGTACAGACAACTCCAAGAACTCAGTAAATGAAGTGTAATTGGACAAGTAGAATTAGAGACCATTCCTGCGGTGGTACAACACTCATGGACAGGTGGTACCTGCGCAAATGTCACATGCCTGTTCGACCAATCCGCCCTGAGCTGAAGTGCACCCTCACCAGCAAAAGAAAGACAGATGGTTCCAACCAGATTCTTGCACGCGCTCAGCAGGCACGCAAAGACCATACATTCCAGACTAATTTCTTTGTGCATACTCACCGTGCTCTGCGTCAAAAGAGCATAAACTTGCGCACCTATGCCGTGAATGCATACCAAAGGACTGTGAATATCATTTCAAAAAACGCCCTCTTTTGTTCCTCCTCGGAGAGGACAGGTTGTCCTGATTTGCTTAACGCACACACGCGCATCAAGCTAAAGAATGTGCATGTGAGCAGGGGTCCACGGCAGTTATGGCACCATATTTGATTAGTCTATAATCTCAATGCTAACAAAGAGAGAAATAAGGGTAAAATGTAAGCTTAAATACTACTGCTGCCATGAACTGGGTTTGTGTGCATTAAGATGAAAACTAGTGGGGTGGACACTGAGTAACAGCCTGTCTCAGGCATGCACATGGTCCGCAGTGATTCATAAACATCAAGTGGGCTTCTTGGACTTACACGTCTCCTGTTGATGGGTTCCAAGAGTTATAGTTCAGAGTGAAGGTCACCTCACAGGTCACCAGGGCTGTATTGGGTCTGTCTCGGTTAAAGGACCTTCCAGTCGTTGATGTTGTACAATCCTGGGAGCCTACTGAATAAATGCTGCTTGAACCCCCTAGCATAGTAATGGAGGGAGATAATTGTATTCAGTCAGTATTAGGTACATATCAGCACTGAAATGTGATTTGATTAACGCACGCTTCCTCAGACATGACTGGAATTATTTTTCTCCGGGAGTAACTCACGATTCACAGCAGCTGTGACTCTTGCACCCACAATGCCAAGTCCAACGCTTTCAATGTAGGGATGTCCACCGGCGCTGGGGCTCGGCAGTCCGGTTGGTTGGTAGGAGCTTACCCAGTTGACCCTGAGGTTTCTGAAGTTCTGGACATTCGAGTAGACGGTGGCTGTGCTCCCCTGGACTGTGGGCGATTCTAGAGTAGTCGTCCCCATGATCAGGGTGGCACGGTGCTCTGAGAGGGTTGGCGAATGACTCACTACCAGGAAGTAATAGAGAGTGATTTAAAGCATTCTATTTTTGGTTCAACAAGTACCAAGTTTAATAATAACTTCTGACGGGTGTACATGTCTTCATGTGGATTACTTTTCTTGGAATGTTTTCTTCAAAATCATGCATTGGCTGATCAAAAGGCTGTTTAAGATTGTGTCCCACAACTAACACTTCACATTTCCGAATTATTTTGGCCAGACACAAATGAGAAGATCCAATTCTTTAAACACTGCATGGGTCCTGGAGAGAAGTCTCCAAATTTTATGAGAGAGATGTGTAGTTTGCAATAAGGCTTGTAGTTTCATCTTGGAGAGTGTCTGTCTCTCAAGTTAAGGTTTGCTCTTCCTCTAACAATTTCCAACTCACTTGTTCTGCAGTCTCTTCCCGAGAATCCGCTGTTGCATGAGCATCGGTAGTCTGTGCAGGATCCCGGGTAGCAGGCATTGCTGTCACTCCTCCATGAACACTGCTCTGAACACAAAATGAAGAAAAGGATAGACTGACGGAAGCAAACTTCATCCGCTCCATTCAGGAGCAAAAGGTGGCATGTTTTAGCATGTCCCTTTGAATGGGAACACACTACGTGCACACTCAAGTTCACCCAACCTTTGGACAAGCCATAATGATTATGTGCCAGTGCACAACTGAATGTTGTTGGAATATATGGTTATTGGTATGCACAAACTCTTTGAGAAACTCTCCACCAAATAATCACTTCTTTAATGGCGATGGGAAACTTCTACTTGCAGTGAATCTCCTACTTTGCAGACATTTCTGATTTACACCTGGACGTCCTAGCCTAGACTCATTTACCAGCCATTTCTCGGCCCTAAGTGAAAACTGTGCTGCATTCAAAAAGTGATTTATCACTACAGTTATTACCAAAACACAGCCACATGCAGAACTTTTGGACTGAAAACAAATTAACATTCTTCTTGAATGATGCTTTTATGTTTTGAATGATGACATATGAAGGATCCAAGTCAACATTCTGGAGGGTTTAAAAATTTGTTTAAATCATACATACTATATATTGTGGGCAGTTTTAAAAGTGCTTCTGACATATGCATAAACCTCCCTAGTCATGAAGTTGCAACTCTTTGGAAGCCTATGGCCCAGACAGTCTGAAAGGTAAGTAGGACTTCCCTTTTGCAATAAATAACAGTCGGTTTTGAACATCCCCAAGCCAATGGCAACAGAAAGGGACGGGCAAGGGCAGTGAAGCCTGCCCCCCTTACTTTTTGCAGGTCCTATAATTGGGTGGGGCTCCATGGATCAAGTCCTAAATGGCCGATGCCTGATGGTCTAACAACTGGACCTCCCGCTTCGAAAATCGTTTCTTTGTTGGTGCCTCGAGCTATACACTTACTAATGCATTGTCTCATATCATCAGTCTTCTTGTAGGCTGATCCCAGAGCAGGGCCGAATTCACCGTCACATCGGTCACATTTCTGGTTTGAGGAACTGCTGCAGAAAACCTCAACACAGTGTGCAATGGGTGTGCATTCTGTAAAATAAATGAATACACCACAAAGAATCCACAGATGGATCTAAAGCTAAATTCTCGGGGGTGGGATGTTGTTTGGGTGGAAATATTTTTGGGTATACTTTTATGGCCTTAACGAGGCAGAAGGGTACATGTATATACTTTATGAGGATTTAACAAGTTTTTAGACAGAAATGAAATAAAATAGGCCCCAAAAATTCGACTTTATCTTGTTCTCTTTAAATAAAAAATAAGCATTTTGGGGGGGGGTCAATTTGAATAATTGAGTACACGTATCTGAACATACAACCTGCTATTCAATTGAATATTCATACATGTATATTCGGTTAATTTCCAACAGAAGCAGAAACAAAACACCTTTCTATACAGAGAAAAAAAGGAAGCCTTGAAGGAAAAGTCCTCTTTTGTCTCGACTGTTGGGCATATGCACTGAACTCTTATTCAGTTACTCTTAACATCGTGAAATATAATTTTTCCACCTTGTAATCTTTCCCTTTTTATATCCATAATTTTTATCTTATAAAATACATATTCAAATATTGGATATTATTTAGAATTATTGATTGAACATCCGAATAGTCAGTCCCAAATCCTCCAATTTCAATGCGATTTTACATACATCTTTGGGAGTTAGGGTTAAGAATAGACAAATCATGTGTTCGCCATTCGATCCTTTAAAATTAACATTGGCAACAGTTTTCTAAGAGCCCTTTCATGCCATTTGCAGGAGTAAACTTGTTTCTAAAATTAAACAGGTTCTAGCTACAAAAAGCTATGGCAGTGACTGAGATTAACTCAAATCCTCATGCTTACGACTGCATCTTGGAGAGTAGTAGCCTCGATTACAGTTGGCACAGTAGTCAGGTCTTGTGCAAGACCCGCCATTGGGGCAAGTGGTGACACCAAAACAAATGGCTACAACAGAATCACATTTAGAAGTCAGAAAGAAGCACACATATGCATACAATGTACCAAAGACTTCAGTGACAATTTAAGGGAAGTGCCTTTCTTGGGGGACAGGTGCAAATTTGGCCAAACAACGTGGCATTTCATATAGGGTGGTGATATACATGTACATGTATATGTACTTTGGAGCTTTTTTCCACCGTTGGAAGGAATTAATGGGAGTGAAAAAGATGTTTCAAAAATCACCTCTCTTGCATTAGATTTAAACTTGCTTTTTGTTTTGTTGGGGGGGGGTTATACACATGTACACATGCATGTCCAATATTGATCAGGATGTACATGTAAATACAGTGGTGCACGTTAATTAAGGCAAACTTGGAAGGCAAGGTGTTGAGAAAGAGTTCCATATATGGAAAACACTATTTCCCTTAAAATGTATTATTAGCCATCAGAAATCCTAAAAAGTGAAATGAAGCAAAGACATTTTTGTAGAATTAATTTACTTAGAAAACACCTACATGTAGGTTAAGTGTCGTGGGTTTCTGCCCAGAAGTCTTGTCCACAACTCTGTGCACAATTCTATGTGTAAAAGGCATTACGGCGAGAACCAGCGCGTGAACCAACACGTGTGCGTACTCCATTTGTTTGTACTGCACTTCTGGTTCACAGTGATGTCACACTTTGGTACTCTATAGGGATAATTATTCAAAGTGTGAAAGGGCAAATGATGCAAATTCTATGCAACTATTGAACTTTCAGCCACTGAGAGTTGCGAACTGTGCGTCAGGATGCTGAGCATTGAGCAATCATTCTGTCACAGCCAATCTAAGGGTTAATCCATTTAAACATTTTGCTCATCGCCACCCTATTCACTCCACCGCATCCACGTAGTGGTTGGTTTCCAATATAGCACTCACGAGTCTCAGGAGGCTATATTTGATTTTTACCTGTGGCACTTAAAATAGGATCCAAAGTACTCTTTGATGCCAGGTCCACCAATGTATAGTGCTTTCGAGTTTCATCATGAGGTTAAATCGGTCTATACTGGAATATCCATAGAGCCACACACTGGTATAGAGCACTCATGAGTATCTCTGCTTGGTGACTGGCAATGCTGGTGTCTTACAGACTACAGAGAGATACAATTAATCCTTAGGTCAGAAATAGGAAACATTTATAGAGGGCCTGCGTGGAGCGCCCTCCCAGAGGACATGTTTTGTTATTTAGATTTCATGACAATGAATGCACAGTACTCGAGCCTATCCTAGAGAAAGAAGGAAATGCCCGGCGAACTGTCGAACGTGATGTCATACATGTACATGTACATACTGTACATGTAGGTGGCCTAGACCTACAGAACTGACATTTGCCTTAGCTGGGCAATCCAACACTTAACAATAGAAGTTTCTATATTTGTTGCATCTCTGTTCATGCTAAAACTAGTGAAAGAATGGAATAAATGATAATCAGCGGGGAGAATTTGAAATGGGGCGAAATGGGAGTGGGAAGAACTGAATGGAAACGGGGCGAAGTGACCGACCTCCCTGCAGATACTGTAGATACCATATGTGTACATGCACATGTACATGCTGTACGGTACGAATCCAGAAACCTCAACAAAACTTACCAAATTCGGCGAGGAAAAGTAACTTTTACCCTGCCTCGATCACAATTAATTGGGTTGCTCTTTGTACCCCCTTTTACATTTCCGTCAGAGTGAAAAATCATAACGAATGGAGGTAGTACAGCACGGTTTGCTTCCTTCCTTATCTGGCCACACTCACCGGTGTTGCAATTTGTTGAGACGTCTCCAGTCCAGCCAGTGCAACACCTGTTGCAGGTTCGATCCCTGCACAAAATATACGGGCACTTTTCACGAGAATTCAAGGTGTGTGTGTGTGGGGGGGGGGGTGTTCAACTTTTTGATGAAATTATACGTCTTAGTGATCAGTTGCTCTTCGGGGGGGGGACTGGTTTGGCATCAGCAATCCCACACACGGAGGTCTTTTCCCAATGGGAACAGTGAAATGACCAAAAGCAAATGGGGGCCGTTTTTAACAGTCCTTGTTTAATTTAATTTTAATTGGGCCTACAAGTACCACTACAAGCACCCGGTAGCTGCCTTTTGTGATTTGTCTTCGCCGCACAAGGATATCCCTACAAGACTGAGACGTGGCAAATAAAATGCCTGGCAGCTACGAGGCCGAGGCGTGGCCAATAAATAACCCTAGCTGCTACTAGCCCCATTAGTGTGGCACGGACTCTCACTCGGCTCCCGATCCATTACGGATGGATCGGGAGTGAGAGTCCGTACCACACATTTGAGGGGCTAAGCTGCTACAGGACTGAGGCGTGGCCAGTAAATTACCCTAGAAGGTACGGACTGGGGAGTGGCAATTAGTAAATAACCCTAGTAGGTACGGGACTGAGGCGTGGCCAGTATAAGCCTATAGCTACGGGGCTGAGGCGTGGCCAGTAAATAACCCTAGAAACTACCGGGCTGAGATGTGGCCTGTTAATTAAAATACGGTCGTGTCTCAAGTTTGTACATGGTTCGGTACGCCGGGCGTGAAACGGCCAGAGCGAGGACTTACCTGTATCTTGTACAGCGTTTCAAGTTAAGAAATCCACACTTCGTTGTGTAGCGCTGGGGGCACGAGTAACCACAAACAGTAGCTCTTTCGGAAAATAGAAACAATGCATCAAGTTGGAGCCTACTACAACATACCGATGAAAGACTCTGCGAAATATCTGAACATAACAATAAAACTTTAATTAAACATATTGAACCGCAATTAGATGTTTGCCTTTAACAGGACCGTATAGAGGCTTCTTAAATGCAGAACAAACAGGAGTGAAAATAGATATGAATTATATGCAGCCCTCTTTGAAACACAAGGGCATCGTATTAGGCGTACAGTTAATACATTTTAGAGGCCGACTTTTCATCCAGTCAAAACATCAGGTATATTTCCCTCATGCGAATGTATCCATCCCTTTTCACGCCCAGTGCGCAGTCCTTTGCACATGAGTTTCCGAGTGTCCCAGAAAGTTTTTGAGTAGGCCTAATGAGTTCCTGACTGTTTCTGATTTTCCCCCGATGCAAGGAAAAATGTACCTTTTGTGATCAACGAACGAAGTACTTACTTTGAACGTGGCAAATTCATAACCACGACGAGTATTATACAGCCGAGCTTCAACATGGTGGCCGTGTTTGCAGACTAATAATCCTCCGGTTATGGACCCAAAGCTTTTTGAGATATTTGCACCGAAGTTACTTCCTGGTAAGACGGGTAGCGTAAGTCGGCTTGCAGAATCTCTGCTCGCTGGCTAAAAGAATCCGTTGTCCGGGTGGAGCATCATCACTCAATGGTTATCAACTGGCCAATTAAACCCAATTAATGTTATAATTCCACAAAAAAAAGACAACATTCGTCTTACAACTGCAAATAAGTAACCAGATTTCTGTTTCCCCAGCTCAGTCACGACTGCACAAACGCTCTCAGCAGGTGTTTGGTAAAGGGTGTAAAAGGAAAACTATATCAAGTTTATAAGTTCCGGCAAACAAGCCGGGTTTTATACTTCCACCACTCCAAGCTAGGTCTCCTTTTTCTTTTCTTTTTTTTTAACCTTCGCTTTCTGGTTTCATGCCAAGTGCAAAGGGCTCAGTGTTGCACGTGTATATTGTTCATCCTACTTCCTTCAGTTTACGGATTTTTCCCTGTTACACGACCCTTTGGTTCTATGAAACTGGACTTCCTGCTGTGCCCTAGGCAAAGTATGGTACCGGGGAAAAATTGGCCCAATTTTAAAGCAGCAAAAGTAAACCATCAACCTGCTCCATCCATGCTGTACCGGTACAATGCAAACGTTTCCGAAGCAGTATAGCTCAACTTTATCCTCGCATTTGATAAAACACACTCACTTTACATAGGCCTAGGATTGCATCCTTTTTTACATTTAATACCCTCGGGGATTTTTTGCCAACAGTTTTCATCTCTGCTGATTTGGTCGGAAAGAGCCGCACAGCAACACTGCAACATTTCACGATAAAAGCAATTTGACATACACTTGCCGTTTGAATTATGCACATAGATACGACACTGGACTTTAGCCTGTCTCGTTCAACTCCACCCGACTGGCACCCCAACCCCACCCCAAAATTAAAGGACCACTTACGGCCGACAAGTTGTGCAAACCTGTAAAAAAATGTACGCCTACTCGTTCACCGTATACAATTAAGCTGTTGACCAGCTCATATAAACCCGGATTTGCCTGAGGTCAAGGTTAGAAGTTTCCGCTTAGGGGGAAACATAACCAGTAACCACATCCACAAACTTGAAAATCCTACCGATTCCACGTCCAACCATACGAGAACTAAATTTTCGAGTCGTCGAGAACGGGATCAGAAACTTGAACTGCTAAAAAAACCCAAAGCCATCATTATGCTTGCAAAAAGTGTTTATTCCTCAATCTGAGTATACATGTCAAAACTTCACCTCAATAAATCTCATACAAATTTTTGATACATGAACGTAAGCAATGCACTTGCAACTTTGTGAAAGTTCGACCTAGGTTTCAGACAGAATTTCATTTTTCAGTTGTTTGAAAAGACTCCCATCTGTGTACATCCCATTACTGCGTATTCTGTAATGAACGGTCGACACAACATTCCTTCGGAGCTCTAAGCACAGAATACACAGGCCTACAACCACTTCCACATAACTTGTAAGGCTTAACAGAAATGACATGTGATGCATGATGTTCGTCAAAGAATAAATCTGGTCAGAGCTGGTGAATGATTGGAAGCATTTCTAACAGTAAAATAGTTCATTTTTGGCGTAAAGGATCAACATATTTTAATGGGCGCTTGTATTTCTAATTCTGAGTATTAAACATTTGACAAAAGCCGTACTAAAGTAAGAGAACTCCTGCTTACTGCAGTTCACAAAGTTTTATATTTCAGAGTATTCATGCTAAACACTTAAAATTACAGAATCATCTGTGTTTACACTCACAGCAACAGGGTAATAAAATCTGGGTAAATAAGACTTTTTTAGCACAAACGCGAAGTACAGCATGTCTCTAGTGATCTTGCGCACCTTGAATTCACTCCTTGGCAACTGGTATAAATTTCTTGCATATGCGGGGTGGCAGATGAAGGCAGTAAAAATCTTCACATGGTAAATTGGGCCAAAACTTTCATTGCCGGTACGGAGGATTTTCTTCATGGTTGCAATTATTTTCATATCGGTCACGTAGTTATCCAGTTTCAGCCGGAAAATATCGTCAAAATTTTTAAAGATTGATTGTTGTCTTTATGTGCATCAGTTGCAGGCTCCTGCTCCATTTTTTTTCAATAGGTCTACCTTTAATGTCCGTGACACAAGTTAACAAAGATGCACCAAGTACAGAGCTCAAGAAAAATCCAAACTCCTTTAGTAAAATCGGTGCATACCTTTGGAAAATAGCCCACTTCATGTTTTTATTAATCAGTATGCTGTTTATACTGCACTATACAACATCTAGCAAAGAGCGAGTAAGGTTTACAGTGTCATTATTAGGAAGTCTTTCGGGCAGTTTTGTGTAAACAAATGCCGGATTTAAGATAACACCCTTGAATTTTGTTATTGATAATCAGACACAGATATAGGAAGCTTATCCAAGGAAATGTTGCCTTCGTGTGCATGAAAATTAGGTATTGTTTAATCTGAGTTGGTTTTTAAGCCTCGAAGCCATGCCAAGCAAAGAGCGATAGCTAGCAGACAGTCACGGTGGGTCATTACATAATTGTTTCGTCGACATCCTGGAGGATTTGCTCGTTGTCAGTAAGGCTAACCGTTGACCCTGGGAGCTGGATGGTACAGAAGAAACGAAATTCAAAAACAAACGAAATTCATCAAAAACGAAAAACGATGTAGAGTTTTTCACCGTGACACTTGCTTGGACCAGCTTTTGGTCAAAGAAATAAAAGTGAAAGCATGTACGCAATTTGCTTAACTCTATAAAATATCGTGCTGGAACTGTGCGGACTGGACTATCCAGCCTGAGCCCCCTCTTCAGCTGCCACCTCAAACAGACTGTAATTTAACTGTGGCTCATGTCACGAACCACATTGACAACTCACTCAAGACACTGTGTGACTGTGTGTATCTAGGCTTTGAGCTGGGGTTGGGAGTTGTGTGTATTTGTTTTTCTCAAACGATCGTCCTTTTTTCAAATGAAGTTAGAAACTTTCATCCAAACACCTCTACTTTTCCACAGGATAGGCCTAGACATTGTGAAAATCCATCGCAATATGTCGGTCTGCTCCCTTTAAGACGGAGTTCTCATCCCGGATATGGGTAATTCCAGAAATAAGGGGTCCAAAAGTGTGGCATTTTTGTGTCCCTGTTATATCTGACCGTTGCTATTTGACACGGAAATATCCCCGGAATGTTTTCAAACTATTACTGTTTGATTAACAGGTAATTTGCAGAGAATGTGTTCTGAACTTACAAAAATCAAATGTCAGACGTGACAAGAACACGAAAAGAAATGGACCCCTAGTTTCTGAAATTACCCTTAACATAAGGTAATGCACCGGGATCAGGTTGGGGCAGTGGTGCTGCCCTCACCTTCAGTGTCTGTGATCTGGGTTGGAATATCACCCGTTAAGATGTTTGGTTTTCCAGTCCCTTTATTATCTGATATAAATTCCTAGGGTTCAAAAGTATTAATATGCGCGAGTCATGAACTGCAAACACATCGCTACAGTACCGTGTTATCATTATTCTGCAATTCGGCAATTGCTGCCGAATAAGGATAAGGGCCTAGCTTTCTTTTTAAAATAGGCTTACACTATTTGTTGTAATATTCCGCAATTACTATCCAGACAAAACGTGCATAAAAAAAGACATGCCAACTGCATTCATAAACAGGCACCAAGCACTGATGGACCTGCCTTCATGTGGATTGACCTCAAGCGTGCGTTTCTCATGCACTCAGGAAAGTGGCCTATGTTCCACGGGCTTATCCTAAGACATAAATTAACTGTATCTTGATAGTAGAAAAGGGGCGTACATTTTATTGTTCTTCTTTTCCCCACAAACAGAGCGCAAAATATCAAACCTCCAATAGAATTATGGACAATGTTGCCCAATGCATTAATTGCAGCATGTGGGAAAGTAATCGATACACGCGCTTCCAGTAATATAAAATAATTTTCGAAAAAGCTAATACATGGTCACGATCACGGTCTGTGCTTGCACACCACCGAGCAAAACGTTACAGGGTACATCATCCATAGCCACTATGAATTGTAGACGCTCAAAACCCGAAAGTAAAATGAAATGGCGAATAATGCTTTCCACATCAAATACTAGGTTTCCATTTTATTCATTCCACATGTCGTTAGGATTTTAAAATGAGGTGCCAGGTGCTTAAGAGGAATCCCGTGGTTTTATTTTCGGAATTTGTACGGCCGATAACGTGGACTAAAATGGTACGTAAGTGCTTTAGGGGGCCTACTACCAACTCCAAACATGGCGCCTACCTCCATCTCACAGAGAGGTGCTTCATTCATGCCAGAATGTTTAGGACTCTTTTGTGACGTCGACATCTTCATCTCCCTCGGCTTTCCAGCGTTGGTGTCCTGCTTGCGCATGGTTGGTTCTGCCCACATCTTAGGGCTTACGGGAGGACTGGCATGGCTCAAAGCATGACCTGCAAGCATAGGCTGCAGACTCTGAGAACTCAAGGAAGATGTACAAGGAGCAGAACCATCATCCATAGAAGAAGCCTCTCCCGGTGCATCAGCGACAGCATTGGAACGGCTCAGGCGAGACCAGGGCCTCTTCTTGATGCCCAAGGAGCCGCTCGAGCTGTTAGAAAGGGTTGAGACCACAGATAGTCTTTTTGCTTGAGGGCTGTCTGGATGGCTGGCGCTAGCCTGGCTATCCCCCTCCTCAGAAGCATCTGTGTGATCTCCACTGCTGTCTTCAAATGTGAGATTCTCAAAGGCTTGTGGAGTGCTGTTAGCACTGGGTTCCAGCTGATCATCGTCAGATTCATTGGCTGGATGGATTTTTGATCTGTTGTTATAGTAATATGTGCAGCAGAAAAGTACAAGCAATTTTCACCTAATCTGTATTTCTTTCTCAACGCCTCACTTTCAAAATTAGACATTAAATCAAATTTAAATCTGGAATCTCAGTTAACTCAGAGTACATCTTAGTAGCTGTGTTCAGGAAACTTACAAGTGACAATTTATAATTGAAAAAATGTTTTAAAAGGGTTGTGTGAGTTGACTGATTTCACTTTGTTCTCATAACTCAAACATTATGCGTGTACTCAAACGTCAGCGATACCCTTGCCTCACCCTACAGAAAATTAACTGCAGATTATTCAAAAGACCCCAGGTTAGCTCGAGTTTGGGAAACGGACGAGTACGTTATGGCTTAGCAAAGGCCCACCTGACCACCACTTGCCCGTGATGTAACTATTTTGGGTGATGGGCGCGCCTGTAGTAATCGATATTCCGAAATTCAAAGGTTTGTTTATACCACCAGCATGAATTCATATGTTTATGTGGGAAGAGGCATTACCGAGTATTTGCTTCATGCTTCCAATCCTGATAATTTCAAGTCTGCACTGAACACTCCACTGGCATCGGCAGCAGGTTTGTGCTCATAAACATTTCCAAATATTTTCGGTTATTGTTTTATTTTGGTCAGAAGTTTAAGCAAGGTAGAGCGCTTTACTCTGTGTTCTTTCAATCCCTTTGTTTGTTACACTTTTGGCCAACAACAAAAAGCAAAAACACCCAAAAACACAGATTCTGAGAAAAATTCAAGCGGCACTCAACTGTTGTTGACTTCAAAGTTACGAACCAAGTTTGAAACTTACTTTTTGCCGTACTTCTTCTTGCAGAAGCAGAATACCATAACAGCAACAGTGAGCAGTCCAAACAGGCAGCTGGCAAAGCCAATTATAACTTTGATTCTGAAAAGGGACACACATTATGAACCTTTGTTGTTAAATCACATGACTCAAAACACAGATTTGATTCGTAGCTGTAAGGCGACTGCAATGACGATCATAACTTAGTTCATCGTGCAATTTTTTGCAATTTTTGAACATGTTTCGGTCTTTTCTACGATATATGTTCCCCCTTTCCAACTCTTACTTTATTTTACACTCCTCTTTCCCTCCACCCTGCCGGAAATCGGACCAATGAATGAATGGCATAAATGAATGAATTGGCTTAAGTGATTTTCGTGGGATTCCTTCCGATGACACTAACCTCCAATCTAGGTCATCACACAGTGGATCAGACAACGGGCAGGCACACTGAAATCCGTCGAGGCGATCGAAGCAGACATATGGATATTCGCAGGGTGTGGACTGACATTCGTCGTAATCAATCTCACAGATGTCACCGACCCAGCCAGACTGACAGAGGCAGGAGTAGAAATTGAACCCACTGCTACGTACTGGGGAGTTACAATCAGGGTCAGCCACAGGTCCTGTGTACAGGAAATTAAAAAAAAAATCAAGTAAGGAGTCGTCTGCGATGTCCGCATCCCAGTGTTCCAGACACGTGTTCTTTGTTGTAGGGACCAACGCATCTAATCCTTGTCAACGCTATAGCCAAATTTTGAAGTTCAAATTATCCTTGATAACCCACAAGAAAAACTATTTCAACCATTGACACAAAATATCTTTAGCGCAGATTCTCCGCTTTTCAGTATTTGGATATCATGTTGCACACTATGGCTTCAACTTGCTCAAAAATTGCTGTATCTCTTCGATGTTTCATAGATTAACTATTGTTGGAGACTGGAATAATTTGTTACTTTCCCACTTCCTATACATGCATAAATTTATTGAGATTGGCAGAATCCCTACCCTTACTAAAAAGAGAACTGAACAAGCTTAGCAAAGCAAAGGGAAAAAGGGAAATGAAAAAAATGTAGGAAGAGTTTAAGCATTTCACCTCTACAGATTCCACCGTTGATGCAAGGGTTGACCAGTACAGCAATCTGTACCTCCAGAAGCTGAGACACGGCCCCTAACTGGTCCTCAACCAAGACCAGGAAGCTATCCCTGCCGTGGTAGTTAGGGTAGGGAGCGTAGGTGAATCTGGACACAATCCAGGTCATGTTTCTCTGCAAGCATAAAGAAAGCGATTGAGCTGGAAAGTTAGGAGGTAATTGGTCCTAAAAAACAATCGTTTGGTTTGAAGACTTTTGTTGGTTGGGAGAAAACAGGACTCGATTTGTCACTGGGTGATTTAGTTACAAGTTAAGGGCCAAAATGCAAGTGTAAAGACAAAACAGTTTGAAACTCATGAGCTTTAATGTATATGGATGATACCTGCTCATAAGGTCAGGAGTTGGAAGAGATTAGCTCGATACAGCTGATCCAATGCAGTTGTTGATATAAAAAAACACTGTCTATTCAAGGAACTTATTCAGCAATAATACTTTACCTCATCATGCGGCAACTGTAGTCCACACGGGATGACTGACTGTTCGGTGTCTCCAGAGGGCACACTGCAGTTCTGCCTGGACGGCACGGACCTCGACTGCCATGTTAATGTCAGGTTGCCGTAGGTCACATGCTGGGTTAGGATGGTCAGGTTGTCGTTGGTGTCAACATCATATGCTCCCAGCTCAGCAACCAGATCCTTGTAGGCGACATTTGATCCTGTGTTCTGCTCAACGATTAACTGTCCAAAATGGGACAACTTTAACACTCAGAGCATATATATTGGAGAGAGAGTAGTAGTACAAACTGAATGGGTGGAGGCAACTTTTAAAAGATCTGCCAAGATTTCAGACGGATGTAAAAGATGTACCTTTTCAATGTGCATCTAAATATAGCAAAAGATTTCGTTGGAAACGCAAAACAAGTAAAAATATGTTGAAAAATTGACAAAAACCTGATAAAAAGGAGAAAAATACGGAAGAGGAATGTGTGTAGAGGGATGCAAAATCGCCTTTATTTTCTCCTAGCCTAATCTTCTGTCTGCTTGAGCTTTCAGAGATATATGGCTGTGAATCTTGCCAGCCGTATGGGCCAATGTGATCTGGGAAAGGCTTGCGCCTACATAAAGCTTTATAAAAAGACTCGGTTACAGCCTATAATGCATATTGCACCATGGTTCATCTGGTGATATCACAGAAGTATCATACTTCAAGTATAGCTCATATGGGCCCAGAGGCTTAAACAGTTACATAAATTTGTACTGCTCGATGGTATAGTCAAACAAAATACTAAAGGCATTAGCTGCAACCAGCAAGGGCGGTATTAAATGCCGTTTCCAGGTCGGCCTACAGGGATTTCTGGTTATTACTAGAGGCACGATTACAAGCGAAAAAAACCCCCACAAAACAAATTGAGGAATATTTCTTGTGGCAAAACAATCGATAATGTCCTTTTATTTACCAAGGCAATGCGTCCGTTGCCAACAATGTGTCTGTTCCGAGCGCTGTACAATACAGGGTTATCATTGACGGGACGGATTTCAATGGTGATGTTGACACTGGTAGACAGGGGTTTGATTTCACTGAAGGTCTGTATCTCTCTCACTATGGAAGAAACAAAAATTGGAAAAAATCTCCACAGATAGAAATGCCTCAATTTTACTACTGAAAGAGGTACAGTATCTGGCAATTATACACTGTAAAAAGATCATTATTTGACGAACACGTAAGTTTAGATTGGTTCAGATCCCATGACGTCATTTTATCTGGCACAGTTATTTAACAGGAAGAGAACTTTAACCGCTGGTATTATTAGACATCTCCTTCACGCAAAGTGAATTAATTATCCATTGCTTCCCAGTACCCGCTATTGAACTGGATTCAAGCCCAGCTGGTAATCGAGTAACACCCTCACGAATACCTGGGCTCAAATCCCATCCAAAGAAGCCTGTTTTGTTTCTGCAACTCTTAAGAACTTTTTATTTAGTAGACTGTTGAAAATGTTTACATGACAATAACCCGTAGGTATTAAAATCTCGTCCTTTTCGAACATTTTGTCCTGGATGCATTTCTGATACCTTATATTTTGTTCTTGATGGAACGACGTCTTGCAAGATATATAACAGCCAATCAAATTGTGTGACCAGTGTCGAAATTTTAAAACCTTTGGCAGACTTTTTCGAGAGGAATATGGAGCTTCTCACCAGTGATTTGTACAATGACAGTACCAAAGCAATCAGCGCAAGGCGTAAAGCTGAATTTTCCATCCTTAGTGATCGTCGCGGTGCCTTGTAAGTCCCCACTGCTACCAAGCTCAAAGACTAGTACGTCATCTTCTGCATCACTGGCCTGAAATGTGTACTGTAAAGTACCTGGATACGATGGCAAACAAGGGATATTAACATGGGAAAACGTATTTTGGCAAATGTTCAGCTTTTTCAATTTAGGCCACACGAGCTTTCAAACACAGCAGACACTAAACATGGCTCGCGCGTATACAAGTGACCAAATCATTTTTGGTTGGTACGTTGTAATGTTACATAAAACTCACCAATTCCAAACAGAAACCATGACAGAAAGAGCAACAAAGAAAAATAGCCAACAGATATGAACTTTATGCAAATGAACAAAAATCTCAGAGAATAAATCTACGACGGATTCTTGTTTAGTGGAACTCGACAAAAACGAGTCCCGGGCTTTTAAGACGCTGTCTGGCATGCACAGTACGTTATTTACCTTCGTCCTCTTCCATGAACATGTTCTCGATAAGGTTTGTGATTATGGGAGGGTCGTTAGGGATGGCATTAAGAACCACAGCCAAGGCAAAATGGGTCTCATGGCTGAAATAAGTGGGACTTGTCAGCATAGGTTCCTCTTGCACGGCCCGCCGCTTGCGACCAGCAGCTGAGGGCGCAGAGACTGGAGCCCGGGTAGAGCAAACCTAAGAAGCAACGTCAAAGAAATTTCCTTGTGATGGGCACAAACACTGAAACAAATGTCAACAAAACTAAGTTGCAGGTCGCATCATGTAGTAATTGTATTTTGTGAGCTCTGGTTCTTGAAAGAACCACGAGGGTGCTCAAAACTTTGAACAGAATGTGCTCTTTCCTTGCTGTGAAACAGGACGACAAATCCTGTGTTGGGAAGCAATCCTTTCACCATCAAAAGACTGCAACACGGAAATAGCACTATTTGCCTTTTTGCCATCACTTTTTGGCAAGCTTTTCTCTTGAGAATAATAGGATATACACTTAAATGACAAACGTCAATAGCATGATGACTAACCTCCACGATAACCTGGTTCCCGTCTTCAAGGTAAGTAATGCGATCCACATCACTACAGGTCTTCGCTGCATCACGCCATTCAAAGTGATCTTCGGAGAGATATGAAAGAGACACATACACTTCAGGGCTACGCATGGGGTTGGGAATGGGAGATGTATACGGACCCGCTTCTTTTGGGAGGCTAGAGGACAGCACAAACGTTTCCCTGATTTACTACCTATGGGGCTTAGGATAATTTTTGATACTCTTTTCAGTGAACAGTGCAGAGTTCTATCAGGTTCCATGTCTGCTCCCAAAATTAAACAGCCAAAGTCGCACAAGTTTAAAACGGAGTTAGAGCATCCTCCGAGACTTGAACGCCGATTGGATATGGGGGAGAGGCCGTTCTCGTACCTGAAGTGTTAATTTGATTCACTGCGGATACCCTCAGCAGGTGTACAATGACACTGATCTCGTAAGGGATGAACGAGATAAGTGCCATTATGGTCTCAATCCAGACATGAGTCCATATACTATGGTACACATCGTGAAGGACAATATTAGCACCCACACAATAGGGCTTTATACAGATGGGCAAGAGCTTAGGCAGCTTTAAAAGGGATGAAAGTTACTCCCCCAGACTACACAGAGACTCGTGCAGAATATTAGTATATATAGAAAATGTTTGTTATCATTTTGAAGATCTTCAGATTGTGACATGGCGTTTAGTCGTATTGCAACTACCGCTCATATTGTTCTTTTTTACACATATGTACGAATTGGGAGCAGACAAGCGTTGTATCCGCCCTTCATTAACCGTAAACACAAAAGAATATATATTTTGGTATATAGTTCAATCATCTTCACCTGTGTCCCAGTAGATAAGTCTTGGCTTTGCCTCTGTCCAGTTTCCCGGTGTGCCAAGAGTGATAGTAATCGTCATTGGTCCTTGGAGCTCAGTCTGCCCAAGACTGGCAACGTAGAATGTTGGTTCGTACACGAAACGTATCCTAAGGGAAATTAATTTCGAATCTCTGAAATCTTATGTGTTGACTGAAATGATCATTATTTGACTGATTTATTTCTTCTTCTGTCGACTGTCTCCATAAAATCACTTCTAAAACTTTGCAAGTCAACTGGTTGAAAAAGTTAAAGGCCCTTTTTTGCTAACCTGGCTTTATAACGAACAAAATTGTTTTCCCTTTCTTTGAAAGGCAGCCTAAATTCTACGAAGGCAGCACTGTGCATATCAATATGATGTAGTGCCTTGAGCAACAAATTTGTTGATGTGTGCACTTCACAAATGTGCATTAATTATCGTTAATCATACACACAGTTAAAGGTAGTTTGCAATCAGGCTTACCTTTGCTTGAGCAGTCTTGACGTGTACTCAATGGTGGACAGGGGATTGGTGATGTAAGGTTTATAATCAGGGGAAGCATCCGATGTAAACTCCTGGATGGTTCGGTTCGCATCCAGCAGGCCAAGGATGAGTGAACCGCCCTGGTGCAGACCTGAAAGACAAAGTGAGACGCTGGATTTGAGATATCAATCAGTGGCTGACCAGGAGGTGCTAAGGGACTGCCACTTGACCACTAGAAAAAGGGAATAAAGGGAAAATACGAAGAGATAAAATGTTAACCTCCCCCTTTATGGGCATTTAAACCTTTTGATCCAAAGCTACAAGTCACTTTTTTAATTTGACTCATTGAAAAATGATATTCAGGTTCTAGAAACCTGATTAGAGATATGTCCTTAAAAATTGCACCAAGGTAGGAGGAATTACAAAACGAATATATCAATATGTAAAAAAGTCAATCTTTAAAGTGACTTTTGTAAATCACCCCTCTGTTTCCACATTCCTTAGTTTGTATTTTCTTTCCACTTTTATGATTTGGTGATACGTAAACACTGAACAATATTATCGTCCAGGACAAGGCACATCCAATGCAGAGTGGGGGCGGATATTGTCCCTTGGAGACTGAACACCCTTTTTTATAGAGAAATACCATCATTCTAGAAAGGATACTCCAGGGTTAATATTAATATTTTCCGAATGTAAAAATTGACAACCGTTTTTGAAACAAATCAATTTCGCTTCCTCCTAATCTACACCTGGCTGCAACATTGTTGTCATCCCAGTTACTCTTCTCTGACATAATATAATTCTTGTGCCTACCTCCTGACGTAGCCAAGGTAACATCAAAGTGATTACCCGTCGACCTCTTCCTTCTCCTCTGACTTGCTGATGACGTCAGGACAAGGTCGGTACCATTGGTTGATGTCATCATCATATCGCTGTCTCCTATTGAATATGACAGGCGATTTTGGCTGATTTCTTAAAACCGTTAGAGGAACTCTTCGAAACTCAACATGACAGAGAAAAATGGTTCCCATTAAAATGGTTATGTCTATCATCATGATTTTCATACTGACCCAATATTGTGGTTGTTGCCGCGGAAACGGTCACACACAGCATAGCTTGGTTACACATCCTCATCCAGGTATGTAGACACCTGGGAATCAAACAGATTAATTAAGAGCCTAATCGTCAGCTTTTATCGTAGTGGGTGTTTAGAGTCAAATCCTTGCTTAATGTCCTTAGTCACCTTTTAGTGGTCGTATAACTCGTATCACGTCACAGTCCTTTATTGCCACATGTTATCCGTTTCTTATCATCTTCTTACAGAAAATATTTCGCCAAAATTCGGAAACCTACAATGTTGCACGATGGGTTTTCGCATCTAGTTAGCAGTCACATAGGATTCAAGCACGCTAAAGCACTCACAAATAATGTGTACAATAACCTGTAAGTAAAGTCTAGAATAAAAAAGAGTTCATAAAAATGCTGTGATAACAGCAGGTTTTATTAGATGAGTTTGGCTGGGGCCAACTTCAATTCTTTGCGTCTAACTTATCTTTGTTTCGTGTATCTGTGCAGAGTGCATTTGGCATTAAACACTTACTTTCCAGGCTCCATGTTGAACTTCCCAGCTTTTATAGTTATCTTTGCCTGAGTAGCATCCGTGGGTGCCTTGAAGTCGGTGATGTTGAACCGCTCCTCCCTGTCACCGGCTCGGACGACGATCATTCCATTCTCGATGGCCACTGAGCCTGAGTCGTTCCTGCCAACCACCATGCAGGGAACAACGTCATCTAGGAGCTCCGCTGAACTGCTCACACAATACTCTAAAAGTAGACATTGGAGAAGAAGGTGAGACATGGCGACACTAACGTCTCGTAGAACAGAGAAGATGGACACACGAGCAGAAGCAGGAATAGTGAGGCCAATGTGATGGACATGTGAGTGGTCAGAGTGTAGTGGGGTTCGTTACCTCCACCAGGGGTCTTACTTACCAAAGCACATGGAAAATAACGGGGAAGGTAACGAAAGTAAGTTGATATTCTCTTACTGAGAATTCGAAACCACATAAGTACTTGCATACCTGTTAGTTACAAATAATCTTACAAAATGCCTCCCCATCCAAGAAAGTCTAAAAATATTCCATTGGAAAGTCTGAATTTTTTTTGAAATTAAATAAATAGGGCCCAGTGCATGATACCTTAGCGGGGTCATTGCAAGCAATACCCATAATTTTTTTGAAAGAGAAAGAAATTAATTGTAAGAGTTGTCATCAAAATCATTAAATGGAATGGCTTCTCACTCTTACATTTGTACGGGAGAAACTTCTAGGTCACTTAAAAGAGACACATTTAAAGTGATAAGGTAAAATATGCAGCAAAAGTGCACTAAGAGCATGGACTCTGACTCCAAAGCAACACTAAAGACGCATGTAGCCTGTGACTGTGAGATTATGATTTGCCTGACAAAATACATTGACAGGGGTGGGCAGACGATAAGAAAAGGTCTTGGTAGAGGAAGTGCAGGACTGATTTGCAGGAAGCCGAGACACGTAGGATGCACAGATGGTCACCAGATAGGGACACCACTGCTTGGGTGTATTAACAATTACGTGGATGAACGAGGTACTGTGGCGTAGCTGGGGGGCACCTAACACCCAAGGGAGCCTAGATACATAGGCAAAGGGGGCAGCTGGCCCTGGAACTCTCGCCCTCCTCTTGCTACCCCTCTGAAAAGACCTTGGTTTTGTCACTGACAAGACCAAATGATGATAAAGAGAAGAAGTACAGTAGAGTACGTGATAAGGTGATTGGTATATACCAAAAGTGACACACAATTACATGTTGTTATAAATTAAAATAGCTTTAAAATATAGGTACAGATGATGCGCATAGCGGCTTATATGAATCAAATAATCTGGATTCTTATTAAGTTAAATGACTAAGGCAGCTACCCTACCATAACGAACGATGGATTCATCCTCTGGTTTGGACCAGGACGCCCCAGTCTTGGTTGGGTCGTCATTTTTCTCTATTCCAGATGGGTAAACCTCCTCCTGAAACTGCTGGCTGAACATTGAGGTTGTGTTAACATCATCTGCAGTGGGCTCTTCCAGTAGGACAGTAACACCTGAGAAGTGCAAAGACAATACTTCCGAAACCCCAGTGTTGTAGTTGAGTTCACCATAAGTCGAGTTACAAGTCCTTTCACTTACAACGAGTCACTTTGTAAATTACAGCTGCGCAAAGGATAACAGAAGAGTGCTTGTCATAGCCTTTGATGGACTTGCAGGCACTTGTGACGGGCTCCACTACAACACTTCTGTTACTGTGTGCCGGTATGTGATACACTGCACCTAGAAAATGGGTGACAGCTCCACGCTTTGAGGTGTAAATTTTCCCTGTACAAGTTGCTACACTGTACTAATCCCATCATATTATTATGATGTTCTCCATTTGAACTGTTGCAAATGCATTTTCACGTTAAACTATCATTTCCAAGCCCGCTACGTTGACAGCTTTCAGAGTCCCACCTTCTTTAGTGATGTTAAACATCCATCCCCTTTCTTTCCCCTAACATACCATCACATTCTACAAGCGTTTCCAAGCCGGCTCCATTGACAGCCTTCAGGGTCACATAGTACGTGGTGTTGTGGTGCAGTGATCCCAGCAGATTTCTATTGGTAGCTGTCTGGTTCAACCCAACGTTGACAAAGTCTTGCAGATCTGTTGTCCCTCTGGAGGTTCCTATGGCCCAGTATTGCTCCTGAAAGATATTATATGAAACTTAGCTGGTGTGGGATTCCTGCCTTTAAGAAAATCCTACAGCATTGTAGCAAATTGTACAAATTGCAAGATTACAAGCGATATACTATAGCTCCATTAGCTATTTGCTTTTTTCTCAGTTTTAGTGGACTGATCATGAGCCTGGTCAGCGGGAAAACATCTCGACAAAAATATTTGTACCGAATACACGTAGATTGCTGGACGTAATGATGCCTACTGCAATGAGGTGACATCCCACAACACAATAGAAAGCAATTTTGAGTAAATCTGATACCATTGTGACTGACAATATATATGCACCAGTAATGTTCAGTAACATGTTGGCTGCAAAGGCAGCGGTGTGTATTCATGACCCAACATTTTAAATAATTATGATGATATGTGTCATGTACATCACTGAAGGAATCTGGTAATAGAGCTCACTGTTCCATTTGAGATTAAACATTGAGGACGCCCACTTTAAGAAAGAGAATCGATACGCTAGCCACTGTCATGATATGGAGTTGGAATGGTGGGATGTTAAATTAATCTGCATAGAAATTGGATCTTGGGGATTGATTACTCCAAACAGAAAGAGAATCAATGAAATTATGAAATTGCATATGCCATTTGGACGTTAGATATAAAGATTTTCGTGACCAGATTGTTGGAGGAGCTCTGTTAGGATCCTACGTGGTTTTTAACAGTCGGAATGAACCAGTCTGGAAAATAGGTGAATGTGTACACATGTCTATGTGAACTATTTTTTCTTTCCGTTCAGCTTAATTTGGACACAATCCATTCCAGAAAATGTTAATGAATTATGCTGCTGTAGCTAAATGAGTGTATTTTTAAATTTGTTAATCGTCCATTAGGGACTGGGGTTTTATGTCGCATTTATATTGTTCTGTACGTATTTTGGTTGAATATTGATTAAAGATGCTTCGAGTAAAACTAAAAACTATATTGCCTGCTGTTTTTGGCTGGATTGGGATTTTAAAAACTGATAAAATAAAATGGCATTTAAAAATGATGCTTTCCTAGGTCAGTAGACTGCTATTTGGTCCTAACTACTGAAGCAATGAAATGAGTTGAAATGTTTTAAAAAATCAGCGAATGTCATATTTCTCTCTAGAGTGCAATAAAATCACATTCAACCAGCATGTTGATTAACTGGGGAGAGAGAGAGAGATGGGCAAACCTTGATCATGCTCTCTGTATCTACGAAGCTCCAGAGAACACTAATGGTAGATTCCGAGGACTGGAAGGACGCCGGTTCATACTGGTTGACGTTGACGTCTACATAGAAGAACACATCTAGTTCTGGTCGGGTGTCGTCAATGTAGAAACCATTGGAGGATGCTGAAACCGATTTTCCATTTCCAAGGAAAGATTTCACTGTGCAGGGGGCCCCCGAAACATCAAATGGAAACATTAACAAGGATTGAAAATGTTAAAAATAAGTCATAAAACAACTTTCTTTTACTTGAAGGACATAGTATTTAAGAACACACACCTCAAAAGAATTTCAACAGAAACGGTTTTTATACCCCACCCGTCTCAGATTCTCCGAAAACAGCACGGATGTTTGGACGACTTTGCCAGATTAATGAATGAGGATATACAGCCCAGTCAACATAATGTTCTGTCTGATTCGAATGCACGCGGCTATGAGAGTAACAAACAGGCGTAATATATAGGTGTACCTGCAGCTGGCTGTCAGTACTTTGTGGTGAACGAACTATTTTCAATCAATCCCTTCCTTGTACTGAAGAGGATCATCTCAAGACCTCTCACAATACCAGACACAATTGCACAAGACCATTCCTTTAAGGCTTGTAAATTGAATGCACGCGTTGGGTCTTGTATTCCTCTTGGGATGATGTGACTACTGTCGAGTTTCATTACTAGCCTCACTTGTCCGGTAAGATGCAGGTAGTAATCGGGAATTTTAGGAATGTTTTCTATAGAGGGATCCCACCCAATACGACGCTTTTAGCGTCGATCTGCGCACTTCCGCGTTTGAAAACGCCAGCTTCAAATATTAATTCGATCAGACGATTGAAAGTAAGGAGTCAAGACACAAAATACACACAGGTATGTTAAATTCAGACTTTTCAGGCTGCACATTTTGAGGTTGAATCGACACGTGAAATAAAAACAAAAAATAATGGCAATCTACCGCGAACTAACGTAACAGAGCCTCGGTTTCGATGCAGATTTGCGCAGACAGCGCTAATGTGAAAACCATCTATTAGTCTTCTGACTTGGCGGCGGTGACGATCACTGAATCCTTTAAAGTGCCAGAGAGTGGCGACCCCTTTTGTACGTGTCCTTCCTCTATGGTCATATCGATAACTTTCAGGCTGTAACAGTACCCTTTGACGGTGTTTTGTATTTACACATACTCACACACATTGCTTTTGTTAGTTCTGGCCCTTGCATACTTTCTTTTCTGTTCTTTCATCCACATGAGAATTCTTTCCTTTTGTGTAAAAGTTATTAAAGCGCGGTAGGGCAATGCTATAAATGTGAGGCGCACTAGGCTGGGTGTGGTCAGTTTGCTGAAGATCTGCAAAGAGCAAGTTGGAGGTCCGGAATTTATGTTGACTTACTTTACAGTTAAGTAGCATTGGTTTGGGTGTTTTGTGCTGGGTTTGTGGCCACTTGTGGGCTTTGCTCCAGCCCCAGTACCCCTTGCTTTTATATGACCACTACTCTGCCGTGCTTTGCGATTTCACATGCAATTTAATTGACTTGTTCACACTCTAAGTTGAACTTTTTGTTTTTTCCCACTCATCCCTGGGCCTAGTTTACCATAGGTACCTTGCAACTCTTTAATTGTTACTGTGGGAGATGGGCTTTTGGGCGACTGGAGGCAAGTTTAGCTTTGGAACGTGATCGCACGTACGCGTTTCTTAGGAAAAAGTTTTTACAGTGCCGTTCCAGTCTGAGAGCCCCTTGGCGACTTCCTTTTAGGTCACGTAACTCTACTTGTGGTGCCAGAGACCCGTAAATATCAATGCATTCGAAACCTGGGATATTATTTGTTTTATTTATTATCTCGTGATTTACTGAATATTAATTATATCGGGAAAGTACTGAAACAGTACTGGAACAGCCCATGTGACTAAACTGACGCGATGGCCCGGTACATTTTGTATGCGAAATATACGGCTGGGTGGCTGAATATTCTGATCGCTAAACTGCTGTACATCGGAGCTGGACGGACTTTTCGTCAGTGGAAAAACCGCCTGAGTGAATGGACGCCACTGCACTGAATAGAGCGCTTGGCCGTGGGATGCGTCACATGGACCGCTCAGTTTGATCAATTTATTTTCAATCGTCTTTAGTCGGCCACGGGTCTGGCGTACAATAAATTGGCGACCAGAGCTAATTCCCTATACTCTTCGTGGTTCCTGGTCCCCAAACACTTGGGATTCTTACTTAGCCCTGGACCTAACGGCAGGGAGGAGAAATCTCCGCATTACATTAAATTAAGAGTCCCAGTAGGGCCCTCCGGAGAGCTGCCTCTAGTCTCGAACTGGGCATTTTTGTTTGTTGTTTGACCATCTTTTTTGTGCATGTCGTTGCCCATTCGGGAGGCACCCCACTACCTTAAACGTAACCCCCCCCGCTCAGTGAAACTGTTTATCCCTTGGATAAAGTCAGGAACCTTGGCGTCCTATTTGATAGGAACTTGGATTTGCAAAAGCATGTTAGTAACATATCCTGGATATGTTATTATTAGCTATGTAACATTAGTAGAATACGGAGTTTTCCTAGTGATGATGCATGCAGGGCCCTTGCTCAAGCCACTGTTAGCTTGATTATGCAAAATGCTCTTTTCTATGGCACAAGGGGTGAACTTATGAATCAGCTTCAGCCACTCCAAAAAACTGCAGCTAAAATAATTACTGAGACGAGTACACGTTTTCATATAACACCTATCTTAGCTCAACTTCATTGGTTACCTATTTGCCAAAGGGTAGAATTTAAAATTTTGTTGATTGTGTATAAAGCACTTCAGGGACAAACACCAAATTATATTAGTTCTATGTTCCAACAGTATCGACCATATCGGGCATTGCCCTCCGCTGATCAGTACCTCCTGTCCGTTTCAAGAACTCAAACAAAAGATTTTTGAAATATGTCTTTCAGACAGGTGGCTCCAGTTCTGTGGAAAGCACTCCCCCTCGGCGTGAGGTTGTTGGAATCAGTTGGTCTGTTAAAAAAATCTCTGATATCATATCTTTTTTACCAAATATTTTAAGAAATTGTTACTATTTTAATGTGAACGCATCTTTTTATGCATTATCTTAATTTGTTGGTGTATTGTATTAATACGAATGTCGTTTTTATTGATATTGTAAAACGCCTTAGAGCCCATTAGGATTAGGCCACTATTTAAGTGTAGTACAATAATAGTTATAATGAAATAATAAGAGATTGTTTTATTTTAATACCATTTTATTCTGTTTTATGTTAGAATTATTTCATATCCAATCTCTCTATGAGATATAAGATTTCTCTCACCTGTCACAAAAAATGGGAGTGATCCCTCGTTGTCTCCTGAAGATGGTGTCGTTGCATTTCCATCACTCTCTAGAGTTTCATTCAAGAGATCCAGTCTAGCCAGAGACAGGTTGGTGAGAGTGAATGTGATGGGAACAGCATCAAGGGTACACGAGGGATCACACTGGTAACGATCACAGGGGTTGATGCAAGGAACACAGGGCCTTGCGATCTGTACAAAAAAACGAACCAAAATAGAAAGAACCAAATTGGCCAACTATAAATCAAATATATCTAATTGGGCGGCCTAGTCTCAGTCATTAGTCAATAGAGCGTTCCATATTGGAAGTTCCAAGTTCTAAAAGATTCTAAGTGGCTTACAAGGCATTGTCAATTCTCTAGCAGGTAACTTCCAGAGAGTTTCAAGACAGTGGTAATCTCATCTCGCTTTTCAGGATGTATAATCCATCAGATAGGGCCTACACTAATAATTTGAAATCATTTCGAACACAGGCCATGTGGTAAAATAAGAGCCTGCACACAGAAGCACACCCGAAATAGGCTAATTTGATCTACGGCTCGTGGCCTGCCTTACCTCCCTGAACGGTACGATATCTGTGGCTCCTGCTACCGAACCGACACCAGCAAAGTAGCGGGAGACGGGACTGGTGCCAGCCCTGAATGGTGCCCCGTAGCGACACAGCTTGCTCTGCTCAGGAGGCATCCTTAATCAGAAGGAAATTAGAGTGTCTAATGAATGGTAGGGCATTTATGTCCTAATAGGCACGATGCATTTCTGGGTATAATGACAACAATGGAAGAAACCGAACAAGAATGTTTCACAGACCTCAGGTTCTTGAGTTCGGCTGTGACGGCCGGTGGATTGAAGGGGTCTTGCAGATCCGCAATGTAGCTGTCTTGATTGAAGACATGAAGGATGAGTTTCGTTGATGAGGACATGATTGGTACACCAGTAAGTGAGGAGAGTAGATTGCCATCAACGTAGACTTCAAAGGACCATTCGTCCTGCAACAGAACGTGTCGGAGACAGTTTTGTTGATAGATATGGTCTGAATAACTGGCAATGGGGATGTTGAACTTGATCCATACGGTATTTTATTTGCCTTGCTTTGAGGAAGAGGCTACTTATGGCAAAGTTCATTTGGAATGCATCATAGCGAACACAAAAATGAACACCACCTAATGCACTAACGTGAATCAAGACAAAGAATCTCTTGGAGAGGTGATATATCTCCACGTAATTGTGAAATACAATTTGTCACAATCCCTCAAAATAAGAGTTTTATCAATGACAAATCCAAGTCAATGACGAAAACACACCTCTTGTGCATCAAACGGCATGACTTTGAAGTGAACCGAGTAATGGCGCTCCTCCACTGATGGATCAAAGTCCAGATCTACAGGCTCTGAGATCATCGGCCAGCCATCCTCAAAGTAACGACACCACAGTACAGCTTGAGATGCGCCGCCATCTATGAATGAAGTCACATTCACATCGACTTGAAAAACCCATGCGCTCTAACTTGGTGAAATTTAAACCTTTCGAAGAAGACAATAAACTCACATGGATTTGGACAGAGCCAATAACTAATATATATCAGTTATGTTGTAAGATAAGTAATGCGCCGATTATAGCATCTTACTTGGATAGAGTTGAAAGCCACAGGCTCTTTGTGAGATCCATCGCCCGCTCTCATCGTCAGACACACTGTCTCCGTCTGCGTCTAGTTTGCGGACTGTCCAGGGTTTCGGGTTCCTGGTTGTCATTGGAACACCATTTCCATTGCTTGAGTCGGTCTCTTCCGTTGTCTCTGTGGCCACGAAGTCACTGGTTGTTCTTAATGAGGGCAGAGCGGTGGTGTTGACATGCGTCGAGTTGTCATCAAAGGAATCGGGTATCCCCAAGAAATCCTCACAGTCACATTGAGGACACAAGGACTGTATACCAAACAATATGCAGGTTACGGTGCAATAAGTGTATGTAGTTGACCTTCTGATCGCTGTGTGAAGTTGATATTCAAACAGCCAAAATATGCATTACATGTTTTAAACGAGTAGTGATTATGATTATCTCTTGTAGTGAGAGGCATTATCTTAACTGTGTCAGCCATCTCTATAAAAATATCAACCGCCCTAATCATAAGAGTCCTTTCCAAGTTTGATCGAAAGACACGAAGTTCATATCTTCGCTCATAAGACATGCGCTTCAATTCCCTTGAATCTCAGCCAGAAGCAGTGTATACCACTCAGAACTATATAACATTCCTTGTTGATGGTACTTTATCAAAAGACTTTTGAGAACGAAATCTATAGATTTTAAACAGTCAGTTAAAAAGGATTTTGAACATTACACGGTGTAGGAGCTGCAAATGTATTCTCCTCCCGTTCCTCATAGTACGTTGTACAAAACATTAACAATTTCTGTTCTGACATTTTAAAATGAGTTTTTTTTCGCCAGCTAAACTTTGTAATACCATGAATAAATACTCTGATAAAGTTTCTTAAAAAAATAACTTTCTCAACAGCTTCAAGACTTACCTGATTAAAGGGTTGTTGATAGCAACACTGACAGATTCCTTCTCGCCAGTTCTCCCGTCCACCAAAGTCAAATTCCCCGACTGTTCTATCTGGGCCATCCCAGAAAAGAATACTGGTCACGCTGTGCAGGTCAGGTAGTGCTGCCTTCAGATCAAACTGTATTTGAGTAACGAAAGAAGCCATCTTAAGATTTTTTTGTGTTCCACTGGCAGACAGTACTTAAACTCCCAACTCATGAGTCCCTAGTCATTCCAACTGGTGAATCAGTTGTTGCTTGAAAAGCCCATGCAGTTTTTACGTTTTTCTCAACAGTACTTAAAAAGTTCTACCTCCTGTTTGCCATTGTAAGGAAAGAGAAGTAATTAACGACAATCTCAGTGTCAGGTGTGGCCCGTATGCTTGCTGTTACAGGATGTATACACCCGTATAGGCTTACTTGTCCATATTCATTGTTAGCGACCCTAGCACCACAAGAAGGAAAGTGTCTGGAATAAAGCCATGACGGTGAAAAATGAAAGATGTATTGAATCAAAGTGCTGAAGGATTAGGTGGAAACCTCTTAAACATCTACTGTCATTTGTTACGCAGAAGAGTATACTGGAAGAGCGAGGGTTGAAAGCCACGCTGTCAACATTTACAGTGATTTGTTTATAAGCTTTATCTTGCAAGACTTTCCGAGTTAAATCTTAATAAAATATGGCACACTGCGCTTTTAAACCTAGCGTGAACAAAATAATTTGAATTCTCCACTCTAGCAACACTGTATCTCGTGACTTGGGGCAATCTTTCGCTTAGTTACATAAAGCACATATGGCAATAATACACTGTTTTTCAACGGATAAGAAGGGTACAAAAGAACCAGTACTCTCCTGAGACACGGGTCCTGTGCAACAGCTTGTCCTGTATCAGGGGGCATAGTCTGGGGAATAGAAATTATGTTGATGTACAAATAACTCAGTGTACCTGATTTTTTTTCAAAGTTAACTCGCAAAACTCATTATACCGGTAGTCATACTGACCTCATATTCTGAACTCCTGACAATCTGTGCATTGATGATGTAGGCACCAGACAGCATACGCCGTCCCCTTGTGTCCCGCTCCATTTTCAGTGTCCCACTCTCGTCGGATGTAAACACCTGGACATTCAAAAGCAACATATGGAAATGAGGGATACGATTTTATACAGATTTAAGATTTAACATTTTTAAAGGTTTTACACCGAACCGAATGAATAAAGAGCTACCAATGTCCAGATTAAATTAATTCAGTGCACCTGTTGTGTCTGGTACTCCAAGTCCCATTCGTCTTGTTTCATATTCCACAGTCCCTTGAAGTCCATCGCTGACCATTGTGGATCAGTGAAGGGAACATCTCTCAGTGGACAGGGTGGACCCACTGGGTTGGACAAGTGAAGGATTGTGCCTGATGTACAGAAGAAAAATATGCGAATCGTAATGATGAATTTTATACTTCATAATTTTCCATTTGTCAATTATTGTAAGGAGAATTCAAGGTTATCGATAACCCTAAATCGGGCTTAAACGTCTGCTTAAATGTATGCATTTCCTGAAAAAATGTACAATGGAGTTTTTCACGTGCTTGCTAGGTTTTAGAAAGATTGGTATTAGGACGGTCAAGAAAGTGAAGAAATAAAACAAAGGATAGAAGACTTTGTAGCTGTGTAATGGACCTAAGAAGCCTCTTTACAAACCTGGGTTTTTAACCTCTCATGACCGTGTGGGCCTAGTTCACACGCGATAAAAATTTTAGGGTGCAAATTGAGTTCTATATTCGTCGTCCTTTCCACTAGATGCTGATACTATAGGGGTAGATCCCACTAATTGTCACTAACTTACAGGATGTCATCATTATTGTTTTTCTGTTGATCTATTTTTAAAATCTCTTTAAAGTGTGTCTTGCTCCCTTCCTCCCCTGATCTGCGCCTGAGCCAAGCAAAAAAGCTCCTTCTTTTATGCACGATGAAACTGTGCCATGGCTAAGATTAATAAGCTAAGATCAATGGGCAGCAAGCTCTAATGGATCTCATATGCACAATATTAACTAACCAGTAACTTGGTTTCTGTCTGCACTGTCAGTTACGTCCATCTGGAAGTCAGTTCCATCAACTACCAGTCCGGCTGTGGGTTCTGACGAGTCGACAAAGATGGGTCCTAATTGGGATTGGAAGTTGTCTCCTGCGTAGTTAACCGCTGACAACTGAACAAAGTAAGNTCTGTTGGGCAAAAAATGTAGTACATGTACACAGAAAATGCATGGAACTAGAAGACGTGGCAGGGCACATGAAGATGGACAGAAAAGTGCTTGAATGAGGAAACCGAGCGGCAAGTATCGTGTCAAAATTGGTAATACAAGAAATAATACAGATAGGGAAATAAGGGCTTTACTATATGCGAAAGGTGAGGTTGGAAATCGGTGGAATGCCCCCCTTCAACTTTGACCAGTCACATTTCAGCTGCTTTCAATGCCCATCTTGACAAAACTGTGTACATCCTTAGGTGCCCCTCGGAACTTTCACCGTAGTAATACATTACATTGGACCTAACTGCGTGTTTAGAAGGGTGCAAATACCAACAGCAGAGGCTCATTATCTCATCCCAATCTCTGTTTCACAGGTTCCTTCAAAAGAGGTTATTTTGAAAAAAATTGCAGTTGATGGAGTAATTTGATATGGTTGCAAGTTGATTGTGTGACTAGGATATGCAGTGTACGTAGCATACTGAAGATGAAGAAGTGTTTTAACTGCCCACTTGGGCGGGGACAACAGGATCAGTGTTATAATGTGTTAACGACTTGATTTATTTAAGAACCAACTAAAATCTGCGTTTTTACATGTGTAACACAAAAACAAAAAGCAATGAGACTCTACACACCTGTAGGTTCAGGTCCACAAATGTAAAATCACTGATGTTAGGGCCAAGTACTAGCCAGTCCTGGCCAGGTACTGGTGTCAGGTTGTTTTCATCCCTGACGTCACAAGATGCAGCTTGCACAAGGCGGAGGTTGAAAGATTTGATTCCACTTTCATCATCCCTGTAATCTTCCCAAACCACCAACACTGATTCGGTGCTGTGGGTGTACGCCACTGGCTGCAGATCATGAAATTAGTTTGAAGTCAACAGGTTTACAGAGTCATATTTGCAATCACATGGCTGAGTTACGAAGGAGAGGGCTACAACATTGCCGAGCAAAAGGCACCCACGGCCTAAAGGCAACTCAGGCAGCTGTCAAGCAACCCATGCTGACAACAGCAGACATCCAAAGTGTTGATTTTAACGGAAGGACGGGGAAAGAGAACCTTGGAAAAACTCTCCTACCTCAGGAGTGAATGAACAACTCACCTCACCTAATGGCCAAAGCTTAGAACCGAACCTTGGCTACCGTAGAAAGACAATATTGCCTTCATTCGCTGCCACCCGTAACTGTCCCATGCTGATCAGATACCCATGAAACCACAGTAGTTGATAGGGAGGGGTGAGCCGCTGGCACCCCCTCCCCCTCTTGTTCCCTTTCTTCTGACCTCAACTGTGGTGGGTTTTTTGTCAATTTCTGTGTGCATCCCAATTAATCTGTTCAAAAATGTTTGATCCCACACTCAAACCATTCTTAATTTTTATATCAAAAATGACTGAAAAGTAAAGATTTTAGTACAGGTTTTACTGCTTAAATTTCCAGAAAACTGCTCTGACCTGCACTCTAACACTGAGCTCTATCAACCCTCTATGTAGTAGATTGTGTTGTTTCGTGTTGTCTGTTGTAAACAACTCTCACCAAGAGATTCTGTGTCCCTTTCTGAAAGGTACCATTGGAAATTTAGGGTAAAAAGTGGAAGTGGATGTACTGCCATTTTGTCTTTAATCAAGCATCCGTGTGTGGTATTACAGCCAAAGCTTGATAGATGAACATCCAGTATTGGATCAACAGAAGCACTACTAGTAACGGGAAAGGTGCATACACTGTCTTCCTGGCAACACTAACCATGTCATAGAAAGGTCCGACTCGCAGTCGACCCTCGACTGGAGGCGTGACATCAACAGAGAAATAACTGGTAGAGGAGTTACACTGTCCCCCTTCGTTCATTCCTGGAGGGAGAAGAAGAAACCAAATGATCGTTTTGTTCAGTCAAATGCACCCTAGCTCAAACACTGGGAGGAATATGCTTCACTCACCCACAACAGTTGTATAATAGGAGCTTCCCTGCGTCAGATTCAGGCCTCGGACCTCCACATAGGTGTCTTTGCCGACAAAGTGCATCTGTCTCACGTCAAACGTTGCCAGAGCCTCCTTGGTACCCAACAACATATCCAGGCAGTCCATGTCTTCAGGTGGGATTGAGAATGGGGAAGGTTCGCCCAGGCCGACGTTGTACAAGAGAATGGGGAACGTGGACTCAAATTTAGCCCACTTAAGCCCAACCTCCGAGACAGAGTTCACGAATTTTGATACTTCTACTTCAGTTCCTAAATATAATTGGAAAATATAATCAAGAAAATAATTATTGCCTCTGTAGGTATAATTACCTGAAATATTTTTAATAAGCACCACAGATCTCCGAGATTAAGACAAATTGAAGCTAAGTCAAGTTGAGATATTGAAACAGTAACTATTTCTATAAAAATACCTGTAAGAAATGCAACAAGAATTAAACAGTGAATACAATTTCCAATTTGATAATATCGAAACGAGAACCTTAGAGAAATTTAACTTGAAAAAATAAAGTAATTATATTTTTTCAAAGAGCTATTTCAAGACTTGAAAATACAACTGGAAAAGAGACACATTTGTAACGGAAAGATGAAGTGACCCACCATGTACTTTGCTGTCAATACCAACATTGATCCCTGTTGATGTCACCTCAGCAGTGGAAAAGCTGGCGCTGTGTGCTCTTACCGTCACATAATAAGTTGAGGCTTGTGCTGTTAGGTCCAGGTTAGTGAAAGTGACTGATGTGTTCAAGCCGACGAAGGTGAAGGGCACCACATTGTCTCTGGTCTTAGGGTAGCGCCGGTCGGTGCCGACTGCAGCCTCGTAGTAGTCAACAGCTTGCTCTGTGAGGTGGTCTTTGGTAACTTCAGCATTTCCTGGATGGAAGGCGATCAGATTCATGTGAACTTGCACATGCTCCATAGAGGAAGATACTGCTACTGTGTGGAATCACATCTCATAAATTGAGCCGTAATTACCCCTAACCTCCTTGGGTGTGTGTAAAATCATATTGAAATCGGAGTGGGACTATTAGGGTTTTTAATATATTTTGTAGCTACTTTTTACTCTATTGGAAAGGCCACAGAAGTATAGTACTTCAATTGGTTATTTTAATCAGTTTGTGCCAAAGATATATTGACACTACATGTGAGAAACGATGCAAGTCTTGTACTTCAACTGTAGACATGCATAATTCTGAATCAAACATCTACATCTTGTTGGACGAAATGTCAGTCAATCTAAGTTCATCACATTTCACGTTTAAAAGAGAAGGTCTCTATAACCTAGCAGGGATCTGTCAATATGATTAACTTCACACATACCTGTGTGATGAACAGTTTCCTTCACTATCATCCCCTGTCCAAACCCCCTCCAGTTTGCTGATATGGTATCCGTCTCCTTCTGGTAGGTGAGATCAAATCCCACCAGGAGGCCATCATACACCTGGCCAGGTATCAAGGGGTCTCGCTTCACAGTGATACCATCGGATCTGACTGTGATCTCCAGGCCGAGGGCGTTGGTAGCCCGTACAATGGTGTAGTAGGTCTCACCATCTGTCATTTCAACATCTGTGTTTGTGTCGGAAGTTCGCTCTATTTCACGGTAGAAAGTGTAGATGTTAAAATTGAACATGAAATTAAGAGAAACAGGTCCGTATTCACACGTTTTGATAGCAAAAAGAAATGCCCATACAAAGAGAGGCTTACCAACATGTGATTGGAGCTGCAGTTAAAAACAGCTTATCATAACCCAGACTTTGGCTAAAGTGTGGATGGTCTTAGGCAAACAATTTTGCAAAGTCTGTATCATTTACCTAAAACATCTGCAAATGGCTGAATCTCCTGGCCGTCAATTCTGTATATGGCCCACTCATACTTCTTAAATGGACAGGGGTCTCCACTGAAGTCCCACGCTGCACTTATTTCACGCAGTGATGTCTGGAAGTCCACGTCATCAAGTTTGCCGTCAGAAACGCCATCTTTGACCTGGAAGGGTCGGAGTGGTTGAAGGCCGGCACTGAACCGGCTGATGTAAATGCCATTGGACACTGCAATGCTTGTTAGACCGGCTTCATTATAGCCCCTCACTGTGGCATAGACCTTACGGATATCACTTAGGTCGATGTTGGTGATGAGTTCTGATGTCTGATCCTTAGATACCTCGTAAAAGGATTTGACCTGAGATCCCCCTGGTGTGGTTCCTAAGGCAACCTCGTACTTGGCGATCTGGGTTTCTTCGTCAGTGAACGGGTGCCACAGGATTCTCAGCTGAGTGAGTGATTCCAGACACTCGCCATCCAGGCGCAAGCATTTCTCCTCGTTCGTACAGTCCCATTCTGGTATACTCACCGGATTACTGATATTGGAGGTGTGTACTCCAGGCAGCTCTACCACCAGGCCATATAACGGGGGAGTATCATCAATCTCAATAGGTGCAGAGAATGCCATAGTGCTTTGATTGACAGCATTGAAGGCCTCCACGGTGACATAGTAGACTTTGTTGTGAATGAGATCCAGATCTGTCAAGTATTAAGTTACATATTTACAATAATCCCATTACACTTGTTTAACATGAACTGTTTCACAATTGATAGGCAATTTTTATGTCTGATGGGTGATTATTAATTTTCACGAAAGACATGAAGTTCAATATTTCAGAAAGGACAAAGGTATCGATTAATGTGTGCAATCCAAAGGACATAGAAACCCCTTCCCTGAAGCAAATCCGTGTTACGCTTCGGGACAATCAGGTGAGGCCCTTGTTATAACCACTGCATTGAGGGGTTTGTTCTTAAGTCTTGAGCCTCAAACAATGGACAAGGTTAATAAAGTAGGTTACCAATCCCCAATCTTAGATATTAGTATAAAAAAGTATTATAAGGGGAAAACTGAAGGGACACAAATACTTGTTTAACTGTGACACTCGAAAACATCCTGATGATCCTATCATTTAGGTTGGCCAAACCATGAGAAATGAATGAAAACGAAGTTATCCCTCAGCCCTGTCACTATTAGTTAAAAAAAGATTAATCTAAAAAATGTTCTCAGAATTCCGACTCATTAGTCAAAAACATATGAAATTATGAACAAAGTTCCAAGAATACTTGTTCAAACACTATTTGCATTGAGTGGGATTGAATAAGGGTTGTATTTATAGCACTTGAATCGTGCCCAAGTCCAAGGGCCTATCACAGTAGGAAGACAACTTAACTGTGAGAAGGGCAAGTTTTTGGCTTTATGTTTTCCCCCAAAGCTTTACAAGAACCCCAAAATGTAGCCTCCTCTTCAGCAAAAAGGCCAAAGAAGATTACAAGAAAATATTTTTAAAATTTTGGTCCCGAAAGAAGTTGCCCCTCATTTTGGTTCTGGATCCACTACAGCTCCAAATGCATAAATCGAACTGAAAACATATATTGTGGTCACAAACCTTTGACACTGTAGTGCATGTAGTAGCCAGGAAGAACCTGAGATTCATGCATATCTCCTACACCCCTGGTTGTCCCAACAAGAAACCTAAAGTGATCAATTGCGGACTCGGCGTCTAGAAAATCAGTCCAGCTACACAAAATGGCACCATTAGCGTGGATGAAGGCAGGACACTGGACCTAGTGACAGCAAGCAGGAAAAAATACAGTACTCACACATTGAAATCAAGGCCCAGTTTAAAAAAGAGGTTATGCACAAAATATGGGCTCTAGATCTGGAAAAAAAACAGTTACCAGCCAAAATATTACACAATTTATGTGCTGTGACTGGTTCTTATCTGGGTTTTGCTTAATTGGAACAGAAATGAACAGGTGTCTGATTTTGGATTTAGCGATTCATGGACCACAATTAGAATACAGTTGCAATTATATGGGCCATTTTTAGGGGAAAACCTACCATGTAGCCCCTACATTCCAATGCACATCCAATTTAATGTCACTTGAACACTTTCAGCTCAACAGCTCAAATCTATGATATTGAGCCCTAGAACAAGCAGATTCCTTAAAAGTGTTTTGGAAGATTGGGCAGTGGAAAATATCACGTTTTCTTTCTCTGCTCCATAATGCACACATTTCTGATTTCATGTGAAAACAGATTTGAATACCTTTCGTATTTATTTTGCAAATTGAAGATAAACAATTTACGACTGTTGATGGTCATGGTTGGGATTCGGTGACAGAGATCAACAGTGGTCATCTTCCAGAAGACAAACTTTGCGACGTGATATCCGTAATTTGTACTAGCATATGGAAACTGGCGTATTAAAACCTCACCTGACCAACACTAGGTGGGGTGTTGTCTACAATCATACTGGTAGCATGTACAGTCTTCCTCAGTCCCACACTGTTGACTGCCTGCACACTTAAGATGTTAGGGAATCCTGGATAGCACAAAACTTTTCAAATTAGAGCGGAAGATAAAGTTGATGAACCATTGCTTCTGAACATTGAAAAATAAGAATGCATAAATCATCGAAATATATGAATTTATCAGCGTATTATTAAAATAGAATATGTTTAAGCTGGTCTTTTTAACATTTTCACTAACCAAATCCACACTGAAGTTGGAAACTAAATATCCAGCAAATAAAAGAGGAACAGTAACAAGACAGTCAAACAAAACCATCTAGCCATCCAGCCGGAACAGACGGGAAAACAAAGGGAGGGGAGCCAGTCAGTTAGCCAAGCAATCATCCACCAGGACGAAAGAAATAAAGGAGCAAGCAAGCCATCCAATTTATATCAAGAGGAAAACGAAGAGCAAACCAAGCAGTGTTTGCCATAAGCTAGTAAAGAAACCCTAAGGACAACTACAGGAAATGGGGAAACTGTAGGTCAGTCATGAGCCAGCTCATAACAAGGCAGGACGTCTGGGAAACAGGGAGCAAACTGGCCATAATAGCTCCCTCTCTAGACACTTCAGCTAACGACAAGAAGACAGGCCTGGCCAGCAACCTGCCATCCTTCTATTACTATGAGAGCTCAACAGGACCAAAGCTACTGCAAGCTTTACCTATTTTAGCAGGACTGATCAGTGTGGATGGAATGTAAGATCTATTCGTTGATGTCACAGGGAAGACATCAGCACTCCCTGGGTACTGCCCCATAGAGAAGTATGTTGCAATGAAATCACTCTCTTCTTCCTGAATATCCCACATGGCATCAATGGAGTCTGTGTTTGACTGGAACAGATTAACTCCACCACCTAGGCTCTGTAAATAGAACACCAAGGAAAGCATAATAGCGCAGCACAGAGTCTTTACCATTTTGTCAAAAACACAAAAGAAAATTGATGGTGATTGTACAATGCAATCTCATATTGCACACCATTTCGTGCTCATCGTTCTATCGAAAACCCACAGTTGCATAGTTGAGAAGCACACGTTTGAACACGTGTTGATGATAAAAAGTTGATGTAAAACCACGCAGTTGTATCTAGCGTGATTCAGTAACAGAGTACTCACAGAGGACGATAACGTGGTATTTCTCAATGAAATGCAGAGTGCAAAATCGTAATATAAACTTGAGACTGAAACACTTCCAACAGTGTTGAATAGTTGTTTATTATATTGGAAAGATCTTTCGATTAACTTTTTTGATCTTTTTTCACGGACTAAGCAAAGAAATATACGAAGAGCTGGACTGTTTCAACAAACGCTTAACTCTCGCAACAAGAATTTTTTTCTGGCCCACTTGCCCCAAGCAAAAGGCGGCAGGGTACTCCGCTTACCAGATCAACACGTGTATCGTACTCTCCAAGATCAGTGATCACAATCTCTGGTGGAGTAATGTCCACCGTGAAGCCACTGGACGTGGACTCCAAGACGTTGTCTCCGTTTGTAATGGCTCGCAGTGTGCTGTAGTAAGTTTCACCATGCTGGAGAGGCAGAGGTGACTGGGCCTTGCCACTGCCTGCTAATCCTGGAAAAGAAATCAAAAGTCTTGCAGAAAACGATGGTGCTTCTCACAAACCTGGTTCTACATACAGCAAATCAGGACAAAAGCATATTTGGGTTCAAAGTCTGAGTAGAAAAATATACAAAAATTATTACACGAAACATCTACTGGACAAAAGAAATTTTTACAAAAAACAAGTTGCAGATTTATTCCAGGCTCAAATTCGCCATTTTTCGTTAAATTTGCGAGCATCAAAACACTCACGGAAGGAGGCTCAATTTTAAAAACCTGCAGATACACGTTGCGATATCATTTCACTTAGCCCTTGTGGGTCTCTTCCAAACCAGGACTGTAAAAGAATAGATGTAGGGCTATTAACTGTATCTATTTGCACCTGAAATGCGAACATCGACCAGTAAATTCCACAGGAAGGTATCTTTACGGAAGTAAATATTTTACCCGAGACCATGACAATATTTCGACATCTTGTAATGACAGATGTATACATGTAATTATGCATCTTGAAATACAGAATTGCTTAAGTACTTTAATTGCTTTGGAAATCATACCTTGCACGCCTGCGTCAATGCCTGGCACTATGCCATCAGATGTCATAGGCTGTATCTCCTCACCCCCAGGAGTCGTTCCCACGGCCCATTCGTAGCGTGAAATGCCATGCAACTGACTCTGTGTTTCAAGAAAGTAAGGTTAAAATGCTCTTTCTACTGTCATATACGTATAATCCTATTAATTTTGAGTGATTCATATTGAAGACGAAGCTGCAGACCTACTAAAAACAAAACAAAGCATTGTCAAGCATTGTCTATCATATTTGTTCTGAATCAGAGTTTAATATCGTTGCCCCCAAACCGTTCAATAAACCTGTAATTGAAGTTCCCTAAAACAGCAACCACATGTCTGGTTATTCTAATGGCTTTATGAGTTTAACAATATTTACAATATTCCCCAACCACTCCCTGTTACAAACCTTTCTGGCCAGTATGTGCCCTATTTTAGAAGTGATTCTATTAAACTTGTTACAGCTGTTTAGGGCTTCACTTGCACCATGGTACTGTATCCATACAGCAACATGAAATGATAATTTTTAGTAGTATGAAATTGGGATGAAATCTATAATTGAGAAGTGTTGCATAAGAATCAGACACGCACACAGAATTTGAGCACATGAAAAAGTACCAGACGACGACTTACGGAAAATACCTTTGTCAGCCTTTAAAAACAACTGAAACCGCAGTGAAAAAATATTCAAAAAGTCTCACCTCAAAGTCATCGAACATGATGGTGACTGTAGTTCTTTCTTGCTGCGCGTCTGTATCCTGTAGGAAGCTCGAACCATCATTTACATAGCCTATGCCAAACGAAGCAAAGTAGCTTGTATTCAACTCCACATATTACAGCCAAATCCTCGATATTTTTGCAATCTTTAAAAAGGTTTTCCGAAAATTTCTTTAAGCAAGAAGCATCGAAACCAATGCGCAAACGTAAGGCGCAAATGACTATCAACATTGGCGAAATTTGTTCACAAGGAAGATGACCCACCTGCATGGGCGTAAATCCCGGGGGGTAGGGGTATATATTCCGCGGGTTTTTGTGATGAGAAAAACATAAAAGCGCATTGTGAAGAATTTTATGATTTCGTGACAACTAAAATGTTTGCATTTAAAACTGAATGTGAGGCTCTGCTTGAATTTGACCCACATTACAGATGCAATATCTTTATCTTGGACATCGCTTCCGATACATTGTATATGGTGTTGCCCCTCACCATTTTTCGAATTTTGATGGCCAGGCAATTAAAGTCATCCCCCAACTTCCGAAACAGATATATGCCCCTGCCCACCTGTCTGATCTTCATCCACCACCTTGATTGGTGAGGAGCAGATGACATCACTGAAAGCCCCCGCTCCATTCTCACTCTTGACGCACACGTAGTAGACTGGCCGGCATCCCTCAATGAATCCCTCTTCGCTGCAGGTGGAAGGGTCTGTGAGCTGGAGATTCAGGTTAGACAAGACACCGCTGCTCTTGGAGCCCAGGGAGGTGAAGGGATGGACATCTTCCGAGTCTTGACAGAATTGTTTAAAAGCACAAAATAGCAGGAAAAACATCCGTTTTTTTCAAAATGTATCTTTATTTATATAAGTTAATTTGATTAAACAGTAATTTCCAAATGACTGAGGAAACTTAGAGCATCAGGCAAAATTTTGATTAACATTTGGCAGAGAAGGAAAACCTAAGTAAGACAATTTAAAACATCGCTCTCTAATATACCATTAGCTAGCTCACGAAAAATCAATCTTTGAGCCCTCAAACCAGAGATCACATTTTTCCCATGCTGAAACTTTCACCAAAACTTTCTTTGAGACAGCTTTTATGATAAACTCACAAGGGGCTGTTCCAACTGCTACCCAGTAGCTCTTGATGCCACTCTGTCCATCTACAGCCAGCCAAGATGCCCGAATGGTGGAGCGACTGTTCTGGTACAAGTAACCTCTGAAGACTTCTTCAACTTCTCCATCCAGGTTACCGCCTCGGACAAATCTCATCTGTGATTGAAATCCACACACTTTGGGGAATAACCTATATCCAACGATGTCCTTTACCAGTTCGGATGGTCATCCTGGTGATTACAGTACTGTCACGTAACAAATATTTTCTCTCCCATTTTCAAAAAGATATGCACAAATGACAGGCACATGTACATCCTTTGCAAAAAGGCTTAGGTGACAATGTTGCGTCTGCTGAACTGGGTTAGCCCTCTCAGGGAATCAAAACATACCAGTGAAAGAGAGACGCTATAAATTAGTGACATGCATATTAGAAAAGTACTTCTTCGTAAAGAGAACTGCATTTAACACGTCCTTCTTTTAAGTTTATCGCCAGCCCTCGTAAGCATTACAGTCAGGGCCATCACAGGAGCAGGCAAGAGTATGCATAAAACATGTAACAAATATTAGGACTAACGATGATGTAGGAATTAATTCTTTTGTTGCAGATCATTTGAAAAACTCCTTGACTTGAATTCAGGTTGGTCTTGCCAGGTATACCACAATAGTGGTGATAATTTCAGTGTGTAACAAAATGAAGCAGAGACATATCTTTAGGTGTACTCCTTGTATGCAACCGACAAAAACTTTGAGGTATAAAACAGGAAAAGCAAACACAAGTTTCATCACACGGAAAAGCCGACTAAAGAGGAAAAATCAGAGAGTTAACTACTCCTTTGTGAGCCCGAGTTTATCTCTTTTGGATGAGCCTAAGACTGGTTCTTACCACAGGAGGACTGGGATCCACCTTGACGCCACTGGTTTCATGAGAGGCAACTAGTTTTGCTTGGTTTTTGGCTTTGACTCGTGTCACATAGAGAGCTCCAGGACGCAGAGTCAGACCCTGTTGAACATGAGACCTGGTGGTGATATCAGAGATCAACTCAAAGCTGTTCGGGTTTCCATCTAAGCAAACAACAAGAAAACCAACACACAAATACATAGCGTTACAGACAGTGATCTTAATGTGAAACCTGGGGACAGTTTGGAACTAGAAAAGGGTAAGAGTAGGTCACCCCAAGGAAGCACAAACTCACCACTTGGGAAGATCTTGCGCTTGTTCCCCTGTTTCATCTCATAGATGGCTAACTCGAAGGACTCTATGCCAGACTCATCATCAAAGTAGTCCCAATGAACAGCTAGACTGTCAGAATGCCACTGAAGTAGAAACCAGAGAAATGATGCAATATTAACTTCCAAGCTTGCAATCATTTCTTATCAGGGCTCGCTAGAAATTCACAGACTGTTGTCCCAGCTGGTCGACATCCCAGCATCAGAAAAGATGAATAAGGAAATTGCCAGGAAGTCAAAATATTCTACAATATTTAGTAAGTTTTGATTTCTCATGCAATCCGTTCTCACCTGGAAGTCTTGGTCTTCTCCAAGCACCAGCCCGTCTCCCAGATTGCGCAGCACAGGTGGTGTCAGGTCTATTAAGAAGCCATCAGTAGGGGTGTCAATGTGATTGAGAGCCTTGTTGATTGTGCGTAGGTTGACATAGACATGATCCTTGTGGAGGAGGTGGAAGTGATGCCACTCGATGGAGGATATAACACTGCCTACTGACTCTGCCTCATGGATGACCTCAAAGTCACTTGTGCTATTGAAGCTAAACATGCCGGGAGAATTAGTAAAAGTTTGCATGAAGATTTTAAAGAAATCCATATACATTCCCAGCAAATAAAATTTCCTCTATAGAATTCTTACAGAAAATATTCCATAAAAATGCTATAGAGATTTATTATAACGTTTCTAGATTTGGGTCTAAAAATCCTATAGAAAATCTCATGCTTGTTTAGAATCTTTATCCGTGTGTAGCTATTCACGTTGATGGTGAATATTTAAGACTGAATTTAGAAAAAGGTCGATAAGATCAGGAAATGTCTATCGAAAGCCTCTTCACTGTAGAGCTCTTCACAATATATTGTTTGGATTGCTATTGAAAATGTATGCAAAATGCAGCACTCTTTGAAATTTGGTCTTGGTTTGAATTTGAACAACTCTCATATTCAAATTAAAGCCAAGACGGTATTTCAATGGGTGTTGTTATGTAAGTCAAGTCAATCATAAGTCATTGCAAACCCATCAGTCCATCATAGACCATCAAATCAGTCTACAAAGTATTAAAATGAAGTGGGACGAGATCACCCTGACATATTATTTATCTTGTTACTTGTAACTGGTTTTAACCTGTTTGTTACTTCATTAGTGATGATTTTATATTATGTAAATATCTTTTTGTCTGTAAACATTCATTTCGAGTGAAAATCTACAGAAGCCATCTTCACCTGCTACCCTGCTTGCGATATACTGTCACTTGGTAGTCTTTAATACCAGAGTCTGGATCATAGAATCCATGCCATTGAGCTTCCACAGTGGCCGGTCTTGAGGAGAAGTCCAGATCTGTATGTCCAGGAAGCAGGCCATCATACACATTTCCTTGAATTGGCGGAGTAAGGTCCACGGTCACTGACAAGGAGAAAGATAAGATGTTTAAACTTCCAACATTCAGATGAAGGAGATGCAATTTTTACAACGATTATTTTCTGAGAAGTGACGTCACAGACTTTTGTACATCAAAGGAGTAATATTAACAGTCGCTAAGATGTAAATTATGTAGCTTTCAATACGTCATTGTTTTGGTAATGAAACACAGAATATACAATGAAAAGTAACGACAGGATTGTATTGCTGACAATGGTGAAAGTAAAAGTCGTGGTCAT